CTAGCCTGCAAGATCCGAGCTCTTTGCTCACGCTGCGTTCTCCCACATGCCACACTGGCGGCACTATCTCACTGCGTTTGTCTGGAGACGACGCAGCTTCAAACAGATCAAGCCGGTGTGGGCACTGCTTTGAGCTCTCTGGCTAAAGCTGCTCTGGTAGACTGCATCCCAGTCAACTGCCGGATATGCGTTGTCAAATTGGCTAGCTCGTTCGAAGCTTCGAAGTCGCCTGGGGGCAAACAGCATCTGTTTGTCATTGTTGCCTACGTCCCCACAAACCATAGGGTTGACTCGACGAAAGATGATTTCTACCACTAACTGAACGAGTTTCTTCGTTATAGATAAAGTGGCATCACGTACTTGGTGCAGGAAAAGCGAGAAAACCGCCCAGCACCATTATATAACACCAGCCTCTTATGACTGGGCCACGTGTTGCGTATACCAGCATCCCGACTACCGCGACGTGCATTATTTGCGCGCCCGGGGTCTGGATGGAAGAAGAGGGAGACCAAGCGATGTATTGGTCTAGAGGGATGAATTCCCTCACTTCAAACTTGACATCGGTTAGTGTTTCTCGGCTGCCTGTCTGAAGTCCGTAGGACGATGAGCACGTTTGATTGGATACGCTAGCTGACGTGGCGAAGATCCCATTTCAACGGCCTTTGTATCGTGAGTCCCTTTGTCCCTCTTCTTTAGCTTTCCCCTCCAACAACGATCTCAACCCAATGCATAATGTGATTTTAGCATTATACTTTTTTAGCTTCTGTTGTTCGTACTGTGTAACCATTTTTTATTGCCACACGTTAGCTGAGGTGTGTTTCTCGCCCTCGGCTAACGTGTATTAATTATGATGATGACAGAAAAGCTACGGATACTGTAGCACTGGCTAGACGCTCAAGTTGGATATATGTCCGATGATGGGCTGCATCTGAGCGGCCAACACGGTGTACATTCCTGTATTGATAACGGCAAGCGTTGCTACACCTTGAGAAGATGCTTGTCCATTTCTCGCGAGCCTTAACTTTCGACACAGCACCTGCAGACGGGTGACACGATACCCACCAGTCTCAAACCAGCCATGGACGCAAGTTGATCGCGTCGCAGTTACCGTTGGACTGTTTATGTTCAAAACTGTCGGTCGATTCGGAGTACGTACGTAAACTCCGAGCACGCAGCTGTATGTGCTGATCTGCAGGTGCGTTTCGGCGAACGTCCGCAACAATGCTCAGAGCGCATGGACACCAGCTAACTGGCGAAGCCAAATGTTCTGAATGTGTATCAAGGTACACTGTTATCCGGACTTAGTAAGCGCCCACTGAACACACTGATCGCATATTCGCCAGACCTTACTATCAGCAGGCATGTATTCATGTTGCAAATCAAATTTCCAACCTGGACATTGGGTCTCCACACAGTCTCTGGAACTTCTGGATGCTCGCCGACACATTCCGGCTGGAAGGGAATACAACGAGACTCGCAAAACCTGCGTGCTAGCCTGAAGATTGGTCGCGAAGCCTGTTGCTCTCATCATGCATAGGAGATGGAAATTGCTGCTGCCTTTGATTACCATCTTAACGTATTCTGTATGATAGAGAAAATAGGCAGCAGTAGATTTAGTGTTACCAAGGCTATGTGCGACAAAAGTTGACAGCTGATTCACAGCTTGTCGAAACGCTTAGAACGTTGGCCCGAACACACTTTGTATTGCAGCTTAATCAACCAGAGTCCCCAGCTTCTCTATTGTTCATTGATCATTGATCGTTCATTGATTGGCTGTCCCCCTGGATCCATTCTCACACGCAGAAGTCGCATTTAAGATCAAACTGTTGGGCTTGAATAAGGTCGCAAGAGCAGATAGACTTTCTCCAGTCATATTCCAATTCGGGTAACCAGCTCTTGTGGACAATTTGCGCAGCTTACTGGTGAAGCTGTAAGAGCAGGAGACGGCCCCAAAAGACTGGAGCCACTCCGTTATAGTCCCAATTTCCAAAGGAGACTCATGTTAGGAGGACGGCAATCATAGATGGATCAGTCTGATCTTAATTGCCTCTATCGTTCTCTATAAACTGACTGATATCTCTGAAAGTCAGATTCGCGAAGAGCAAGCTATGTTTCGTTGAAGTCGGGTCTTTACTGACCACCTCACATTACGTCAGTTGTTGGAACCCTCCTGTATTTATTGGTGACCCTCCCTAGTCTTATTCCTGTATATTAAAGAGGCATTCGATTCGGTGTCTCGGTTTACCTTTCGTGACTTTCTGCTGAGGAAAGATGGCACCGAAAAATATATAAATGTCATAAAAGCGTTATATTTGCGTAGTTCGGGTAAAATGAGGGCTTATGGCAACGTGTCGCCGCCCTTCAATATCTTCAGCAGTGTGAGAAGATTGCTTGCTGTCACCCTTCCCTTTTTGCTACGCGTCAACGAAATCATAGAAACTGCGGTCACTGGGCACGTACTACGAGGTGTGAAGCTGCTCCGAGATGATCGACTTCTTAACTTCGATCACCATGATGACATTACCCTGATCTGGGATAGTTCCCAGACATGCCAAACCGCACTGAACAAATTAGCACCCTGTAAGTGCAAAGTCCTTCTTTAAGATTGGCAGGGACCCACCCCTGCGTTGACTTAGTGGTGATTATCAAGAATTCGTCTGGATATTCATGTAGCTAGGCAGCTATATCAGCATTCTGTGGAATAAAAGATGAGATCACGAACTGTTGCAAAAACCGAAACATTTTTGTCAGTCTCCGCCTCCTGTGGTGCAAGCGCGACACGATCCTCTCCCTGAACTGTGGAGTTTGGAACGCAGTTGCGCGCTTAATCCTCCTTTACGCTTGCGAACCTTGGCCCGTCAGATCGACAGACATAAGCAAGCCAGCTATTTCTGACCACCACCCCTATTGTGCCATGCTTAAGTTGGCAGTGCAACGGCAAGCTTGTCAAGCTACTGGATATTGTGGATTAAATGGATCTTGGTTGAGGACTTAGGTATATTAAGTAACATCATTCATTATGTATCCGGACTCGACTTCGAGACATACTGCACAGTAAAACCTGAGTTTATATTCGTTGCATGCTTTCTCGCAATCCTTCTTCCAGCATGAGCTCAGTCGTATCCATTGGTGGTAGGAGAAATGCGGAGTGAATTGCGTAAATCCAAAAATATGGTAACTGGGGTAGGTAATCACACGAAATTATGGAATTACTCAAATGGGTTAATAAATAAGGGCGTATGTATTTGGAGGCTGATGTTGCATTCTTGATGCTTCTTCACCGCAGTTGGGCTAAACCAACTTGCACCTAAACTAGGTATTTTTAAGCTGGATACATTTCATTCCAGTTTATTTGGTTTGTTCTGCCTACCTGAATAATCTTCTATTAACTGACCACGTTGCTTACGTTAATTGCGCTTATCTTCGGTAATTTTGTTGCGTTTGTAACATTTTTAAGTAACTTGTGGACATTTCTTACTTATCACGGATTCGTTGCTAACCTACTTACTTCATATGGTAATTTAGCGAAGAGTTATGCCACCGTACCTGTATGCATTATTTGATTTATTTTATTTCAGCTTGTCGTTTAAAGTGAATGGCTGTTGTTTGATATCCCCGGTGTGGCTGCGCTTGATGTGTATGTTGACAAGGTGCCTACCTGTTTAGTACCCACTACCTCGTCCATACTGCCTCCAGGAGACAGTTGGTCGTTGCTGGAGGAGACGGAGTGCACAGTCCTTGTGGTCGTGCTAGGCTCGAAGAGTGATTCCATGCACTCAGTGTGGAGCGGACTACGGTCCAGCCACCGCCTTGTGTGCGCGTGATTCCCAACTACAGCGTGCTTGTGTTTGCCTGTGAAGGAGTGTGTGCCGGCCCCGTTGATGAAACGTGGCTCCCATCCACATGGCTCCCCGTCTTATTCCTTATTCTGCGAATTAGGAAGTTGTCTGTTAACAGTTGACAGTGAGCTGTTGATTTTCAAGTAACAATGGGAATGTATGGCTTCTATCCGAACGAAGTAACGGCTCTTACCAGGAATAATGTGCTTTCGGATTTGGCTGCGTTGTGCACAAGTGTATGACACCTTTTGCATGCTTGTTACTGGATTACATGGGTAGAATAGCTGCTCCTCGCCTTCTGAATTTCATTTGTAAGCACCTTTCCGCATATGCCCTAGTAACGATGAGTCTCTTGTGACTTGCACACGGTGGCACGCCTGCTTTGGTACTACCCATCAGTGGAATACTTCCAAGCTCTTCTGCCCAATGAAACCAATCGGCCTCTGGCTACATAAATCATGCTTGTTTGTTGTCTCGGTAGGCGGCCGATAATGTGGTGTGTGGTTTGAAACATTTGACCTCATGTTTAGCTTCCGCTGGATTTGTGCGTATCTTAGGCTAAGAACCACATGACGCGCTGACTCACAGTGACTGAATGTTATGACTGCCGACAGAAATCATGGACGCAATGTTGTCCCACCGTTTTTATCTTACGTTCAACTTTAACCAGCAACTACAATGTAAACCTAAAACCGTCGCCTCTCAGCTGCACAACCGTGGTCCCATATTTCTCGGACCGAATTTCACTCGTTCCATTTCTACCGTATCTCTGATGGCGAATTTATTTGCGATCCTCTTATGAACGGTCGTACGCAGTAACGCGAAGCTACACCCGATTTTTTGTTCTCCTGACGCTTTTGGCGGATTTTGCCTCACCTTAGCTCGGGACTACTCTTGTGCGATACACTGTTTCATCATACCTTTTGGTGTTATAATCGATAACGTTCAAGACAATTTTCGGAGCTATTGCCCAACAGCTCAAATATGCTTATGTTATCTCTCCCCCTCACTTTGTATACCTTGCTGAAACGTCGTAACTTTTTAACCCTGCATTTTTGCACACCATCCATACAAACCAGGTTCTTACACCTAAGGTGCGCAGCCGTTTTGAGTTATCGTACACTTTTCTCCTTTCCCCCTACCCCTATGTACTTTCAACAGGCCGTTGTCAAGCCACTTCGCACGTTCCGCTTCAATCCGTGCTGTTGCAATCCGTTCAATGCCGATTTCGACGGGGATGAAATGAATGTCCATCTGCCGCAGACTGAGGCCGCACGGGCCGAAGCAAAGCACTTGATGATGGTCAGCAACATTTACTCTATTAGAACATCCTCATCACTTGAATCTTGCTCTCACTGTAAACATCTTCATGGAGTTGTTTTACTTAATCGGGTTACTGCTTTGTATTGCGTTAGTGAATATCATCAGTCGCCACTCGCCCCTAACCACCTCGTGTCATATTTTACTCCAATAGTTCTCGATATTGGTGCGGTGAACAGTAATCTATGTTTCACTGCAACATGCCGCATCTGAAAATGTGTGCTTCCAATCAATTCCCACACTGTGAACGCCTGGCTCAGTCAAACTTACAATTGGACATTGTTATTACTATACACGTTAGCTAAAGGTGGAAAACACCTCAGCTTCTGTGCCGCCACGATTGGACGTCGGTAGCATGAGTACTTGCTGTGGCTTATTTGCACTTCCGGATGGCCGATTTGCTTTTACCGCAATTCCATGTGGTGGTGCCATCGTCAATGCAATTTCGTTTGTGATGATTTACCTGAATCGGTACCCTACGTCTGTTGTTTCTTAGTTCGTTTCTTCGATCCACAGGTGAAGGAAAGATGATCAACTGTAACCACCTCTTTGGTTCGGCTGTTTGATCTGTACCTGCGCTGATTGTTGTCATTGCATAGGGACCAACGGTTCCATTTGTTCATTTATTTAATTTTGCTCTGATTATCGGTTATGAATGAAGTTAATTACTTACTGCTTCACCCCTCACGTTCTCTTGCTCGAGCTGTCGTCTCTTAACATCCATATTTGCTGTCACGGGCAATTTCTGCCTCTGCAAACGTACGCTTTGTATTGATTTGCTTTTCCTTACTGTTTGACCCACATGTTGGACACAATTTCCATTTAGCCTCTGCAAAGTATGCAGGATTATTTCTTCCTGTATGCGTTTCCCTGAATTGCGGAGCGCCCGCTTCTGCACAGTTGTTTTCCTGAAAGAAGTTACGCTCTCTCTACCATCTTGCTTACTCGGCTTTGCGGTAGAACGCTTCTCTCCATTTCTCAAAATGTTTCTAGCTGTAGCCTGATACTTGCGGTGCTTCGGCGCCGTGTCACGTCGCCGTCTTGGTCATTTTTTCAACAAATCTCAGTGGTGATGTGCTTCAGACAGGGATTATCGGTGCTTGCTTAGCCGCTTTTTTTTGTCAACTTGTCACACAGACACTGAGGTGCGGTAATTCCGACTGTATTTATCTATTTTATCATACTTTTGAGCGTTACCAACGCTTGTGGGTAACTGAGAAGAAAATGCAGGCACGCGACAAAAATCCGGTTTAGACAGAGCTGAATCGAGGTACGAGTGCTAGTTGGAAAGTTTCTTGCTTGGGAGCTTCGGGCTGAAATACGGAGCACTGCTAGCTTTGCGCATCCTAGTCTCTAACCACTGATATGAGTGATCCCGGGGACCGATTGTCCTATATTTGCGAGCCGCAGGCACCCGGGGACCATGACGAAATGTAGCCAAAAGATTCACATTCGATGGATGTCTGACACCGATCGACAGGCTTCAGGACCACCCGGTTATCCCACCGACCACGCGCGATGTGTTGGCGCCTGTGCTCGAGAACAACAAATGTCTTAATCTCTTCAACATGCAGTTGCCGTGTTTCTTATCCATGCAGTGTCATTCCACCTTTCCTTTGGGGGCTGAGTGTTCAAAAGCTCCCCAAGTCGTACCAACTGCCTTATGATAACCATACAGTTAGCAATCACTGTTTGCCACCGACCGGCAGTTATCGTTTTGCAATCACATCTGCTTATTTCCAATTCGAATTTTTAGTCTGTGAACAATATCGTCAGTCCCAAGAACGGTGAACCGCTCATATCTCCTATCCAGGACCTTCTCACTGCTACCCATTTGCTTACACTGAAAGATGTCTTCTTCAACCGAGATCAGGCTTGCCACTTGGCGGCCCAAATCGTGGCTGGCGACCACTTATCAAGACCAATCAGATTACCCAAACCAGCGATTATGTGGGTGAGTCGCCGTTGCTTCCCTTAGTTAAACCCATTTAAATACTACGACAGGTTCGATTCCCACCGGTGGAGCTTACACACTGCGAAGTTGGACTTGCTCTTAGTAAATGTAAATTTCAGTTGAAGTCACTTGGAAATATTTGAGGGCAAGGTGTCTTGTTGTTTCGGACTACGGTTCAACTTACTGCTGCCAAAGTTACAAGCATAGTACTGGTTACTAGGGAGATGGCTGTCTAAGTCGGCCTCTTCTCGTAGGCTGTTTCTGAGTCGATGTTTCTAAATTAACGTCGAAACCGCTCTTTTCACCTGAACTCGGCGGACAACTTCTAGCAGCTTCACACATCTCCAGTACAAGCGTCCACGCCAAGTTACATGGTGACAAACAAACAACGGGCTACTCTTTACTCAGCTTGATCACATTGCCATCAGCTAAAGTTGGCACACATTAGTGCATAGTTGTCGACCGATCTGGAGCACTCGTCTAAAAAATGCCCACCATACCCACATACATGGCCACCTGACGCTCAAATTCTTATGTGCTTACTAGTCAACTGTACTCTATTCACGGTGCCCACGAACCGAAGAAAGGTTCTGATAAGTAAAACTACGCCTGAGACGAGTAGGTGACTGACCACCTAATTCTTGTTGATTAGAACGCTGGGCCAACACTGAAGATCAATTCCTCTTTTCCGGTGTATAAGGATTCACGTGGGACTTAAGTTTCTACCATCGATGACATCCACTGTGGGTGATGGCTGATGAAACAGGACAGACTTTTATGATAACCTAACAATCTACATGGTAAACATTTCCCGTATCACCGTCCGTACTTCACTGTTTGCTGCCTCCTTTTTTCTCACTTGTGGTCATCGGCTCCATCTTTGAAAAGTCCATCTGACATGCAATCTTCTGATACTCTGCATACGGGCTTCCTATCGATCAATCATACTCAATCGCTCATAGGCTGTGCACCGCCTCTACTTGTTTTATGGTACTCATTGGTTGGCTGGACACGTACACTGGCTTCGGACTCGTTAGTCAACATCCGCTTGTACCCTGGTTTGTATCGTTTTACTCTCTACTTAGTGTTAGGTATCTCTAACTGATCGCGTTTTCTTCACCAACTGACTTTGAGAAACTCTCAATGAGCCGGGGCATTCGCGTAGTCAGATTCACTTTCTTGTTTCGTTGTGTTCATCACACTGCAATTGCTCCAATCCAAGAGCTACCTGCCTGTAATCTCTGGCCCGAACTGGAGGCACGCGACATCTCGCTCGTATGCTTCTGTGGTGAGCTGTTTGTCAAAAATAATGTGTACAATGTGAAGACTCATGGCACTTTGGCTAACGTTTTAAGCGATATGATGGCTGCGGACTGTAGTGAACACTAGTCAGCATTTATACAAATCTCTGGCCAATCATCCGCAACTCTCATGGATGTGGTATTGACGGAATAGTTCTCAGTGTTGCGGAACTGTATTTGACCAACTGGCTGAGCATTCGACGGTTTATCCGTTGCCATCCGCTGCTTTTTACATTTGCCTAAGATGGCGGCTTATGTTTTTCTCCTCATCTCTTTCCATGAACCCTTGGGTACACTCAAGGTGAAGTTCCATGGCATTTCTCCGTTTTCTGAACACTGACTTTGCTGATCTGCACACAAAATGCCTGGTCACCATATCTCCACCCGCTTAACCCCCTCCCGTCATCGGCTGACTAATTTGTACACTTGTCACGCGGTTATCTTTATGCTGAATCGGGGGATGCGATTTTGGTATCGCGCAACGCGTGTTTATGCCCAATTTGGCCGGTAAAAAGGCTTTAAAAGTTCTGAAAATTGCTCCATCCAAACCGGCATTGATACTTGCATCCCTGTGCCGAACACATAAAGTGTACTGGTTCACTGAATTGTTGTTAGTCCACAAAGTATGTGCTCAACGCATGATTTTCGTTGCCAGAACATTTGTGTGTATGTTTGGAATTTGTTCCTCTGTGATTTTTCCATCTACCTCCCACTTTCAGCCAGTGCGATTATGGACCGGAAAGCAATTGTTTGGCTTGATCATCTCACCTCATCCATCGACCGGCATTCGGATCAACCTCCGCGTGCCCACAAAATCCCTGTACTCATCTCACGGTGAAGAAATGTGCCCAAACGATGGATGTGAGTTTCTTGGCTGAATTAGCCACTCACTGAGGTCAATTGGCCAAGCGTTTTTTTATCTAATGATCACAGCAACAGTTTAACTCGTTGCTCACATTTCTCGCGTTTCACTACTCAGCGCGCGGCTAGCTGTGTCATTCTGTGACACTTTTGTAGGCCATTATGCAACGCTGGCCTATGGCGACTGTGGAGCGGAGCCTTTCACCGATACATCACATCGCCATAATCAGTAGCGTTTGTGGTTTTGCAAAGGCGCACATTCTTTCAACCAACTCCAACGCACTTTATGGCCGGTTCTGTATGATACATATTACTGTACTTACAATTTGTTTATCTTTCATTCCCGCTACATTGGTCTGATGTCTTCTTTTGTGCCTCCTGGCATACATGTATCATGTGCGAAAATCCAGGTAAATATTTTAAATTTGCCGTTTTTTCGCCCATTGTGTTGTTTCGTTTAAGGGTTTCGAGGGGCACTCAAATGCACGGGCTTGTCACCACCACTTTGCTGGGTCACATGAACTAGCCTTGAGAATAGACTCGACATTTCATAGCATGAGTACAACCAAGCATGATTTGGTACTGTTATTGCGAGACACGCCGCTCGGTTTCTGTGATCACTTTTTGTGGTGGCTCATGCATTGTTTGTCCAACTGCTCTCCCCTATACGAGTTGTGGAATGGAGTGGTTGAGTTCTGGTCGGTGATTTTCGATCGCTATCCCATCACAAAAAGGCATGATGTGGGATGTTGCTGGAAGAGGCATTGGCCGCATCGTACCCGCTTTCAAGATGCCCACCGACATTCTACCGGTCCGCGATACACCCGAGTCCACACAATGTAAAGCTCTGCTGGCTTCGTTATGAGGAACGTTTCCATTACACCCTCCTTTCGATGGCTTTTTGCACATGCGACCGGCTCACTGTTGCTATTTACTCGTGTTCTGTCCATTCTATTTGACCCTGTTTCTCTGTAACACCATTAAGATCTGAATAATATATGTGCCTTGCTATTCTTGGAATTGCTTCCATGTCACTGTGACCTCCACGGTGACAGCCACAGGATGCCTACGCATACAGAGAGACCAGGGATGGCTTGCGCTGCACTACCCACAGCTCCATCCACACAACACTTACCCGTGACAACCCGAAGGAATATGACTGGGAGGCATGTGGATGGGAGCCACGTTTCATCAATGGAGCAGGCCCGCACTCCTTTAACATACATAGCGGCAGCATTCCTGTCTATCAATGTGGGGGATCATGTATACCAGATTTACACAAGGCAGTGGCTGTACCGTAGTCCGCTCCACACTGGATGGAACCACTCTTTGTGTCTAGCACCTTCACAAGGACAGTGCGCCCCGTCTCCTCACGAAACGACTATCTGTCTCCTATAACCAGTATAATCGAGGTGGCAGTGTTTTGACAGGTAGGCTCTTCGTGAACATTTAGATCAGCCACAGCCACACCGGGTATAACAAACAACCAACACAGAATTCCAACGATAATGCACACGCAAAATTGACATGGAACATGCAGTAGATTAACAAAACTGTGCAAATCAAATAAAGTGGAATACCTTTTACCCAGGTTACGAAAATCCAGTTTAGGGGTAAGTCGGTGTAGCGTAACTGCATCAAAAGGCATGAGGTATGCAACATCAATCTTAACATGAGATCTGACTTACGAAAACTATTTAACCCCGTTACTATCTAGCACTCCATTGTGCAAACGCTGTATGATGACGTGCCACACTGCATGCTCTAGGGTGTAAGCCCTAAAAGTTTAATCTGCTGTTGAACTAACCTGCTTCACCATCGTTTTTCGCGGTTATTAGCTAGGTGGTCAGACTGCCTACTTCGAGTGTTTGCTCGATAATTACATAAATTTATCATATATCGACCTAGTTGTACAATTTTGCTTTGCAGCTTGGATGCACGAAGTCGTCGCAGAAGTGCGCAGCGCTTTGCACCGGCCCATTCAGGTGTGGTTGCATGTAAACCCGTGGCCGAAATCACAGGGTGTCTGCCTTGCAACCCGGAGGTCGCGGGTTCGAGCCTGCCTCGGGGAATAGGCGACCCTCGCAACATCCTTAGTCCATGCGCGATTGTCGGTGTTTGCGTGGCAGCGAAGCATCGATACGGCGTACCAGCGTATTGCTGATACATACAAGCCAGATTCGGCGCCAAAGTATTTAATATACTTGTCTACCATTTGGACACCTGGGACTCCCAGTTCCGACGGGAGTGTTATCACGAGCTTGGCTCGTTCATCCAAGTCAAAAGTGGTCTTCATGACAGGCTAGGTGGTAGTTCAATGTGTTCGCGGCTCGGCAGTTACTGGAGAATTGTCGAGAGCAACAGCAGCCATTGTACTCGCTGTTTGTGCACTTCACCATGGCATTAGACACGGGGAACCGTAATGCCCTGTGGTTGATGTTGCGTAAGTTTGTAAGTCTAATTGAATGTCTGCAAGGTGGTATGCAGGTGAGAGTGCAGCTCAGGGGACAAACCTCGGATGACTTTACAGTTGTCTTTGGTGTAAGGCAAGGCTGTGTCTTAGCTCCTCTCCTGTTTACCATTTACCTAATTGCTGTGATTTGTACATTTAATGCTTGTGATTGCGGTGTCTGTGGAGCACCGTATTGATAGTGGATTGCTGAACCTCCGCCGTTTCGAGGCAAGAATCCTGGTGTGTAAGACAACCATCCGTATGTTGCTGCTTGTTGATGACTATGCGCGCATGAGTTGCAGCATCTGACTACGCATCTCGCTTCGGCAGCAGCCAAATTCCGGCACACTATCAACAAAAGCAAAACTATCTTTCTCAGCCTTCATCAAAAATGGAATCCTTGAGCCTGTCACAAATCCTTGTTGCGGATGACACGTTGAAGATAGCATCGAAATTCTCTACCCTGGAAGCGTAATATCCACTGACCTCCAGGTGACGTGCGACCTGCGTATCCGTGTATCGAAGGCGGTTGCTGCATTTGACAAGCTGGGATAATGTGTGTGAAACAAGCTTACTGTTGGCACGAAACTGAATGTATACTGGTCCATGATGTTATCCGTCCTTGAATCGGTTGCGAAACATAGACGCTGTACCGGAAGGACGTCCGTTATCTGGTGCGCTTCCATCAACAGTGCCCGCGTCGGATTCTGCACATCGACTGCGGTGTCCGAGTTACAGACACGAAAGTGCTGCGTCACAGTGGCATGTAAGCAGTAGGCTACATACTACTGCTGCGGTGCCTGAGGCGGCTCGGACATATCAACCGCATGGACTTAACGAGAATACCAAAACAGCTGCTAAATGGACAACTTAGCGCAGGGAAGCCGAATGTTGGAAAACCAAAGTTACGTTACCAACACAAGATCAAGGTGAGTTTATCACGAACATATGTTGATTTGAGATGTTGGGAAACAATGGCGTTAAATCGGCGCGAATGGTGTGAGCTTATCAGGAGGGCGATTGCGTGGGTGCAGCAACAAGAACTGTTGCATGTGGAATAGAAACGTCAGTCGAGGAAGCGACATGCGCTGATTGAGGATAGCCCATCAACGTCGAGCGCATTGTGGTCGCGAGTGCTTCAGCCAAGCCGTCTTGGTAAGCCACCAGCATGGCAGGCTCGCCGAACAACCTTCACGTGGTGCTAGCTGGGTGATTCGGGTTAATCCCGTTCCAGCGAATGGTTCGGTGGCAGTGTTCCAGGACGTGGTGGGTTTCCGCTTGGCACGCGTTCTCCCTATAAAATGCCATACTTGTCTGGTTTAACAACAGTGACGTGGCGAATGCGACTCGCCACTACCTATAGTCACTGCCTCTTACGCATCTGGATGCTATTACCCATTTCACGGATGTCCCATCCAATACGACGAGTTCATTTCGCCCCTTCCCACGCTGACGACCTGACCGAAATCAATCACAAATACTGCGTCACATTAACAAATGCAAGCAACATAGCCACACACATTCCTGCCAATATACACTCATGTACACTTATCACATAGATCCATATGATAAACTTGTACCTTTACTTACATTTATTAGTCCTTAGTGTTTGTATCGCAGTGATCATGCCTTTGCAGCTGTACCTCACATTGCCGAGATTGAAACATTAGTTAGCTGAATTGATACTTATCATCAGCTCAGTTCCTGGTAAGTACGCTGTCTCAGGTTCAATTTACTAACCGAGGCCGATGATGCCGTCGACGTGGTTCCTGCGCTACATCATCATTGCAGTTAGTCTGTAGGGATGCCTGCTTGTTGAGTTTCTTGTATTTCAGGGGTTGGTTGTTGATTGATATCCGCAGTGTGGCTGCGCTTGACTTGAATGTTGACATTATACCTACCTGTCTATTACCCACTACCTCGTCTATACTGGCTCTAGGACACCGTTGATGGTTGCTCGAGTGGACGGGATGTACGGTCCTCGTGGCCGTGCTAAGCTCATAGAGTGGTTCAATCCATTGTGGAGTGGACTACGGTCCAGCCACCGCCTTGTGTGCTTCTGGTACGCATGCTTCCAAAATTAGATTGGGATGCTGCTGATGTGTATGTTGAAGGAGTGCGGGCCGGCTCCATTGATGAAACGTGGCTCCCATCGACATGCCTCCCAGTCATATTCCTTCAGGTTGTCACGGGATAAGTGCTGTGTGGATGGAGTTGTGGGTGATGCAGCCACTCATGGTCTGTCTGTATGCGTCGGTGTCATGTGGCTGTTTTATGGAGGCGGCAATGATAGGCGCATCCGGTATCGGATGCCAACAACCATGGCTGCTGGCGCACTTGACGATGCGGAACTAGAAGACCCATATATCTTCTACGTTGAGGGAGATCCATTAGGTTTTACAACTTTTCTGCATTACCATTGAACTTCTGTAGCATATTTGTGAGCAGTTTGAAGTCATGTCTCTCACATGACGTTCCATTACCCATTTTTATTTTGGGGCGGCAGCTGACAACCACCTGTCTGAGTTCATCTTTTTAGTGTTCGCTAGTGAGTTACTTGCATCGACCGGACCAATTACAAGTGGGCATCTTACTTTAGAAGCGAAGGATCGGGGTCGTCGAACTCGAGTGAATTTGCATCGGGAAACATGTATGCTGGAAACTAATTGAGCGGATTACCTTAATTTTTCTGTTGAATGCAATTCTTACGCGGTAAGTAGGATAACTTACTATACACACCGAGATCGTACTCCTCCTCGCTATGTTCTACACCAAATAGTCAAGAGGCGTCACGATGATAATCTTTTATCACCAAAAGCCAGTTGATTGGTCTGCTACAAAATACATGCATTGAGACCCCCCAATGGTAGATTAGATTTCAAATTCGGGATGTACCCTAGTTTTCTCACCAGCGGGGCTGATGGATTTATAATCCATCTTTCACTGCTAAGAGAACACTGACAAAAGATGAGAAATAGACACAAGTGGTCACTAGTAACGGAATTACGGAGACGAATGATATTCCCTGGTTGCCCATTCTGAATTCAAAGCATTTTTCGACGTCTGACAGCAAGGCTTACCACATAAATACACTCGGGTACATGGAGATTTGAATAACACACAGATCACAAACAGTGGTAGGTGCGCGCATTTCCTACTGTCTCATCAGTGTCAATGCAATAACAAGAAATTATGTATATACCGTTCAACGAGTGTTCCCAACCCAATCACATACAGTGAGATGAACAGCGGCGATGGTGCTAGAACTAGGGCAACCGAAACTCGACTACTGATTGTTTTGCACACGCAGGGCAGGTCTAAGCTGACTTATCACCACGGCCTCGTCGAACCGCAGAAAACATGGGTTAGGATGGTGAAATGAAATCCGAAACGCGGAGCTAAGGTCATTCCGATGATGGTCACCAAGATAGGTCTGCTTACTGGGGATATTGGTGGCTTACGTGCACATGGAATATTGGGCGAAGGTTGGTTGACTCCATTTTGACCGACCTCACCCTGGACCCAGTTGGGCAGGTTCTCCTTTACTAGAGTTCGAAACCCTACTGGTTGTGCCTGTCTAATCGACTCCTCAGTTAAACTCAAAGTGTGTAACAGTGTGGTTTGACACCGATGGGTTCCTGTTCCTTTACTGAAGTTAGCCATAGTTTTCGGGTTCTCTTGATCACTACAGCATCTGCGGCGAAGTAGGTTCTCTGAATGACAGAGATTAAGCGCTTTTTTGCCTTCGTTATGACGGCGTTTCCCTTAAGTGGGAGCTCGTGGTATACCTATTTTTACGTGCGGTCTGACCTGGCTATGCTTCTCAATGAAGTCGCGAGTAACCGTTTTCCATAAGCGTTCTGGGACTTGTCTTTATCTCCTCAGTCAGACAATCGCTCGTGCAAATACTCTGCACGAGTGAATAAACTTTTCACCAGTACATGCTTGTGGCCTTTGGCCGTGAAACTGATAAAGGCACATATTGACCAAACCATGATGGTTTGCGGTAAAGGGACCGTTTACCGAACCCCGTATCCCTTCGACTTGTGAGAATGTCCAAGTGTACGGCAGGCAGTCATTCGTCTCGAATTCATGAGGGACTTTTAAGTCGACGTAGACGCTACTAACTTGATGCTGCATGCGCTCAATTTGCATTCTCGAAGGACCGAACACGAGAATTTCATCGACATATTGTTTGTAGTGAGGAAGCTGCGATCTCCCTACTTGGGCTCTTTCTAGCATTATCATGAAAAAATTGGCCAGTACGGAGCTTAACAGGCTACCCATAGCTACTCCATTGATTTGGCAGTAAAAGGTTTTTTGGAAACGGTATCCGACGTTTTCTGTGCAAAGCAGCAGAGACCGTCTGAATAAGTCTGTCGATATTTGCACAAGACCTTGCCAGCTAGGTTACTTTGGTCGAGATCTTCACTGTGCCCAAGGAATCCTCAGTGCCGTGTAGTTTGAAATGTGCTAATCAACGCGCCAATTTATCTTACGGGGACTCGGTCTGATTATCATTCCTTCTTGTGCATCCGGCAACCCGTGCAGCTGTGACGTTGATGAGCCACTCAGCTTAAGCTTCCTGTAAGTTTAGTGCTCGATGACCTTAGGTAGCAGAATTCATTCTAAATAGCGAGCTACCTGTGACAAGCTCTCCGGTTAATCGATACGTTGAAATCTGCTTTCGTCGCTCAGTGTGCCCAACATTTTCCGGATGTTTTCGTTTTTGTTCATCATTACTGCTCCTGAACCTATGTCTGGCTTCAATACAACCGCTCCCTGATCCTTCAACTCTTGTAACGCCTGCACACATTTCTTTCTTAGCGGTACCATAAGTACCTCATGAGCGGTTAGTCAATTTATTTCTAAACCAATTGACGGCGTCCTGGCTGGTTTGTCGGAGTTCTGTCAACTTGTCGAAAAAATGCTCAAAATGTGCCTGGACGAATAGTTGTTTCATCTTATGTGGAGCGCCTTTGTAATCGAGACCAAGAGATAAAGTTTCCAATTGTAAACCATCAAGTTCCACACTCGATTGGTTCAGGACCTACTTGCCAGGTTCACGAGTAACCTTTTCCCCATTGGCCTCTATTACGGTGTTCCATAGACGCTGTCTGCACTTTTCCTTTGTACGATCAAAAGCCGTTTTGCAAAAATTGGCGAGACTATACGACAACCCTGGGATAAGCCATCAATAACTGACATCAGACGAGCGTGAGGCTCCATCAGGCTGGTTACTATGCACTGTGTTGTATCCAACCGGGCGGAAGCAATGCGTCTAAGGTTAGTGTTAGACGTGTTCGTTTGTTCCTACGCAACTGTTTCAGCCTTGATTGTGGATATCAACGCAATGTAATTTGCCATCCATCCTAATCCACCCTTCCTAGGGTTCGTCGAGACCGGGGCGATAAGCTAGCTAGGACCTGCCCTATGTGAGCAAAAACAATCATTTGTTGACCTTCTGTTGCCCTGACCATCACCACCATTCATCTCACTGAATGCAGGTTTGCCTAGTGAGCCCCACTCTTTTCCATTACATCAGTACTTTGGCCCAGGAAGCAACGGCGATCGGTTAGGTCAAAGTGTGACTACACATTCCCAGGGACGGTGGCGCACGCACTTACCTACATTTTGCGATCGTATCCGGCGAATCGCCTGCGATCACGGTCAACTAAAGGCGGATTTCATCTGGTTTGCTCATTTTCTGCTTAACTGTACCCTGTTTGATGTGGACTGTGATTACTTCACGAACAACATTACTCTCCCACCGTTAGAATGATGCTTATGTTCTGCGTTAATCTAGCTTAGTTCATAACCCGTGAACATTTTCTTCACATTACTGTTTTGCAGAACAAGGACCATCTCCGGCATGCCTATTGGGAGGTTGCCGACAAGGACTAAGTCTGTCGGACGGTTAACTATTAACCTGCCTGGCATCAGCAGCTTTAAGCCTGTGTAGTTGTCTCGTGTACTTCCGGAATAGAGTACTTATTTATTTTTGGTAGTTCCACCCAGCATAGCTAAAAGGACTACTGAAGCGCGGCTAATTTATTACTTCAAACTTATTTGGAGTTGTGAGCCCGTTCACTTTCATCGATACCTGTCGCCTAAGTTACACTCACCCTCTTGCTCCATAATGTATTTTTATTTGGATTAGCGACTTCTTTTTTCTCTTTTTTCATCATCCCATCGTTTTATCGAACTTTTCTTATGGTTTTACAACCCTTTTAGCCATTATTCAATGTTCCGCTCTAAGTCGACAAACTGCAATGTTTCCATATGCGGCATAATGTCCGTGATGTTTCTCACTAACTTGTGTGTGATAATGATGATGCTACTGTTACTTGTAATCATATCGATGTGCCAGCTGACTTCTGGTTTGACTTGACGCTGGAAGTAATCACATCCTGTTTACTTGAAAGAGACCATCTATGGACAAAGCTTAAATAAGCAATGGCACGGATGTGACTCTACAATTGCCCTGTTCTAGTTACCGCTATAAATACCGTGGGATAATTCCATGCGTCAATGGAGTGGTTGCGAAATTATCAATCCCCTGTGGTACGTGTTTTCTGTCATTAAACTCCCTGTTTCCTTTATTAAAGCTTAGCTATTTTACGTGTCATCTCTATCCTAACATACCAACTAATCTAGCTTTTACGTTATTTTTCAAAACAGTTGTACTGATTTACAACAGTGAATTGCTGGCCGGTTGCATGGACAAGAAACTTTTGGGCGGCGGTAGCAAATCTAGCATTTTCTACACCTTGTTGAGGGACTACGGAAGCAATGCGTGTGCCGATGCTATGTGGCGTCTTGGTCGAATTGCCCTCTTCTATCTGGCTCACCGGGGCTTTTCCATCGGTCTGGTTGAAGTAATGCCCAGTGCTGATTTGGTTCAGTCGAAAACTCGCTTGATCAACTCTGGGTATGTCTTTTGATGTGACTTCCCCTATTACAACACGCTGTTGTAAGACGTTTCTTTAGGTTTAAAAACCAATTTTTATAATTTAGTTTTATGGCTAACCGATTTAATTTAATTTCCGTCATATCTATCCCACAACAAATGTCAGCAGTCATTCAGTAGACTCGTTAATTTGCGTTCTCTCGTTGAACTATTAATGTGCATGCCCTCACTTGTTTTCTTCAATTTGGTTAACTAATCATTCGCCACCGCGACTGCGGTACAGTGCTGCTTTTAGGCCACATCAAGCCGCAGGCGAGCATACCTTGTGGGGACTGTTCAGACTTAACCTAAACGAGGGTCGACAGACCATCTTCAAAGATCAGCTTCCCTGGCTTGTGTGCGCAGCTAGGATGAATCAGTAGAATTTCTCTGAAGCAGTTGGCGGTCCACTTTGACTCATTGGATTGAACCCCCAGATTTCAAGACAATCTGATCGCAACTGGTTAGACCCTGTGGCCTTTAATTGTACACCAGATATGCACCTGTGGGTGGTGGTTTACTGGAGGAGGAGAAGGGCCACTCCGAATTGGTTCATTGCTTAGACAGAATATTCAAACGACCGGGGAATCTGAACATGAAGTCCGATCGTGTTCCCCTGCAAGGGACCGCGGATGCAGTTTGTTCTTTTTGTCAGAATTGACGTGTTGTGTCATTGTTACAAAGAGTATGCTTGATACTCAACATGGGGTGTTCGTTGCACCCAGTTCTTTTCAGTCTGCACTACAAATGCCGTTTAATGTCTCAGGTCCCTTGGCTGGATTATTCGCTCTGCGGTGGTTTGGCGAATATTGACGATGTTAACTAGCCTGGTGACGAGATGTTTGCAATAGAAAGATAAGTTACTGCCAGCATTGGTGAAGCTCAGTTGTACAAGCGGTATGTGGATGACATCCTAGTGTTCGTCAGCAACGAACATTTTGCGCTGCTGTCGGCAGTTCTGAATTCAATTCATCCAAATCTATCAGTGTCCCATGAGTTGGAGCAACACGATTGTTTGCCATTTTTGGATATACTCATTAAGAGACGGACCGCAAAGCACCTTGGAGCGGGCAGTATCCACTTTTTCAGCTTTGTTCCAGTCGCATACAAACGTGGCCTAGTGAAAACGCTCTTCTCCAGATCCAGACGCATATGCAGCCCCGAAATGTTGCAGGCTGAAGAAGAAATTTTGTATAGAACCTTGGTGTCAAATGGGTATCCTGAGAGGTTCATTTAGATCCATAGCAGGCCTCCGAAGGAGAAAATACCAGTGTTAACTGCAAAGAAAAAGAATGTTTATTTGTTCTTGTCGTTCAAAGGAGACCATGTATCAAATGATATCGGACAAAAATTCCGATCCGCCCTTACGCGCACCTACGGGACCGCGCAGTTGCGACCCATACATACAACACGAAGCCTTGTTCTTCATGACCGTCATAGCAACTCATCAGTCACTTCGGCCTCTCAGGTCGTTTACCAGTTCACCTGCGTTTGCGGTGACATTTACGTAGGCAGGACTGACCATCAGATAGCTCAGAAGGTAGCTGAATATGTGCCGAGGTGGTTGGAACAACTGATGACGCAACAAAATGGAGTGGATCCGAGGATGAACCGAAGCCCAGCATCATCTATCATCAAGCATCTTTTGGCAACTCGAAATCAGGTGAACCACGAAGACTGCGTTCAAGGTGTTATTACCCAAGAACCATCCGATAATTTTGGTAATTAGTGTGGCTTTGCTAATTAGGGTTTATCAACCTGTGTTGTGTGCACAGCAACTATTGAGACAATCAATTAGGTTACCTTGGTCTTGATTTTGACATTTTGATTGGTGCGCCAATTTTGTCTTGTATATAACTGTGTAGGTATTCCGCTTGTATTGTGTTTGCGACTGATGAGAACAATCGAAATGTTGACATATTGCAACTTATGTCTTCTCAGTGCTCTGACGAAACGTTTGCAGCCAAAATGTTTGAAGAAACTGTCATGTCATGCCGTGTATACAAGGCCACAGTGAGGGCCGTTCTGCTCTATGGTAGTGAAACTTGGCCCCTTCAGTCTGAAGATCTGAGGCGCCTTCAAGTCTTTGATCATCGTTGTTTGCGAAGCATTGCTGGTGTCGGATGGCACCAGCGTATCCGCAACGATGATGTGCGTAGGCGAATACTAGGTAGTGATAATCATGCTAGCTCTCTAGAACAACAGATAGCACTGAATAAGTTGCGTTGGCTAGGGCACGTGCTACGCATGCCTGGCCACTGCTTACCTAGGAGGTCCTTGTTCAGTCTACCAGGTGTAGGATGGCGCAAGGCTCGAGGTGGACAGAAGTTGACTTGGCAGCGGGAAATGAAGTCACTGACAACCAAACTGGGTGCGGTTGCTCCGTCTCGCGTTCCGGGCTGGAGTCCCAGTGACTCACCTTGTGCTTGGCTCGAGACTTTGCAGGACATGGCTCGCAACCGACACCAGTGGCGCGTCTGCTGCCGACTTCTTATCGGATTGCCTGTTTAAAGTATGTTTGGTGCTGAGTTATCTGCGGGGTAATGGCTGATTATGACGCGAGGCAGTGAAAGCCGCAATGAAGCTGTCTCGCCGATGCCGCCTTATCTTTGCACGATAGCCAGCTGTTTGTGACGGTATGTTGTTTACACAAGGTGTAGGCGCCTTGACCCAGAATGTTTGCTTAGGGCATTAAGGTTTTCAGGTAAGTCCCCCTTCTCTCCCTCTTCTTATTCTTTATTTCATCGGTCCTCATGGTTGTATGGCAGCGAAGCATCAGTTCAAATGGCTGATGTACTGCTGTTGATGATGCTGATGATTGCAGCCAAAATACCCAGCGCAGAGAGCACCCGTACACTCATCCGCATCTCCGAGCTATTCTGAATAATTGCCAACGTGAGGCCAAGGTCAGAGCTTCACTGCCTCAACTGTCCCGTCAGGATCACCTGGCTTGCCTAACTACCTCCTGGGACAAGCTGGGTGGTTCGGAGTTATCCCGTTCCATCAAGCTTTTAGGACGTTATGGGTTTTCGCCTGGCGAGTGTTCTCCCCATTTTAATCCACAAATCTCTGTTTAGCAACACTGGCATGACAGGTGTGACTCGCCACTAACTAAAGTCGCTGCATCTTGCTTCAGCTCAAGAAATCATTGTAGTCCAGAGGATGGACACTGGGTCCTAGTTTGTCAGCTTACCAAACCAAAGGAGTATGAACTGAAAAATCAGTCACCTCCCAATGGGTGCGATTCCCTGACTTCGCTCCGCTGCCTTGGAGGTAGGCTACTCAGTCAAAAGCGTCTGGTCATTCATCATAACCATTATACACTTTAGCTAGAGGTGTAAAACACCTCAGCTACTGCGCTGCAGTACATAAACAAAACAATGGAAGATAAATGCGACAGTTGCATGCCGGATGAGCTACCAGCAACGGATAGGCATCTTTCCGGAAAGCTACCAGCCGGCTACCAGGCAAAAAAAATTGTTATGCAAAATTATATTATGCTACGGAATGAGATCGTGATTGGAGGGTGAGGCTAAGACGGTGAGTGGGACAAAGAAACTTACAGCAGGAACGCCACTGAGGTCGGCTCCTTGCAATGTCAGCAAGTGTATCTAGCCAAACGTCTTTATCGTCCTTTGGACCCCAACCAGGGAGCTGTGACACTCCAACCGAGGCCAGCTTCGAACTGAGGGTCTTCATTCCTTTCGACCAAGTCATCGCTTGGCCACCCCTCCTCTTCTTCCATACACACCCCCGGCGAGCAAACAACGCACGTCACGGGAGCCGGTGGGTTGAGATGCGTAACACGTGGCCGAGCCATCGGAGCCTGGTTCATGAAAGGACGGTGCTGTGCGGTTCAGTTGCTTTTCCTGTGCCGTAAACAAGGCGCCGAACACGCGTATTGTTCACGCTGTCCCCACCAGATGTGAGCCAAACTGCGAAGGCACCGGTGATCGAACGTAACTAGCCTCTTTATGTCCGCTGATCTAATGAGCCAGTTCTCGCAACCGTACAATAAGGTCGAACGTACCGCTGCATTGTACACTCTACCCTTCAGGGCGAGAGTGATGTCGCGCCGCCGCCATAGGTGGCAAAGCCTAGCAAAAGCACTTAGTACTATTGCTATACGGTTCGTGACCTTATCTTCGATCCAAAAGGCGCTCATACAACTGCCTAGGTAGTTGAATTTCTGAACGCCGTCTATCCGATCCCCACCGAAAGTCAGTGCAGGAACCGATCCCTACCAATCTTGAAGGAAAGCTTTGCACTTCAATGGTGCAAAGCAAAGCCCGAAGAGGCTAATCTGTCCAGTGCAGCTTGGCACATCTGGGAGCTGTCACAGATGAGGGTAATATCGTCTGCATACTCCAAGTCAAGAAGTCGTTCTCCTGGGAGTAGCTCCACACCTTCTAAGTCGTGTCCCGTGAACGCGATCTCCATGACTTCGTCAATAGCGATGACAGCTGGCACTCTTGTCTCACACCACTGCAGATACTGTAGGGCGGCGACAGCTTGCCGTAAATCCTCACTCTGCCCATGGTAGGCGCATATAGTGCGCGGATAATATTTACATATTTCTCGGGCACACTTTTCCAGTGTAGACAGTCCAAAAGGGCACATCGATCAACCGAATGGAAGGCACCTTTGATGTCGCGGAACACGACTACGGTGAGCCACCAATATGTGTGACGGTGCTCCAACCATTGACGCAAGGTGAAGATGTGGTCGTTGCAGCCCCGTCCACGACGAAACTCAGCTTGCTCCTCACGAATCTGGCTTTCACGAGCGCTAGTCAGTCTGTGAAGGATTACAGAGGCAAGTAATTTGGTGACGATGGGGATCGGACTGATTCCTCTATGGTTGCCGCATTTCGAACGCGAGCCTCCTTTGAACATGGGAACAATAACGGAGCGGCTCCAGTCCGTTGGGACAGTCTCGTGCTCCCACAGTTTCACTAGTGATTCATGTAAATCATTAACAAGAGCATGGCCCCCGCATTTGAAGAGGGCTAAATGAAGATTATCTGGTCCCGCGGCTTTGTTCAACTTCAACAGTCCGATCTCACGTTCGATTTCTGGGCGAGAGGGCGCATCCAAAGGGACAGCCCACGGAGCAGCGCGATCACTGGCCGATGAGGAATCGAATAATTCCGGCCGACTAATTTGCTTTTCAAAATGCTCAGCCCAACGCTCTAGACGTTTTGACAATTTGCTGATAGGCTGTTCATTCTCGTCATAAATTGTTTCACTAGCACCAGGTCTCCTACTGCTCGTTTCGCATATCAGACGGAATAACTTTCGGTGGTTACCAATGGGCAGCGGCCACTTCCATCTCTGACGCACGAAGACACCACCAGGATTCGCAGTCTCTCTTCAGGCTAGCACGGAGTTTTGCCCGAAGCTCTTTGCGAGTTTTATTGTGTTCGTTTCCAGCCGGAATATGCTGGCGAGCATTGATGTTTCAGAGACTGTGAAGAGAACCAATGTCCATGTTGGCGACTCGACTTACCACATGAGGATTTTGCTGCTGCAAGTAAGGTCTGGTGGATATGAGACCAGTGAGCTTCAATTGCATCCAGTGAATGTTTATCCAACTCGCATGACAGCGTACTTTGATAGGCATTCAGAACAGCTGGCTTTGTCAGTTGACTGGTGTTAATGCACTCACAACGTTGTCTTGGGCATCCGCCAAAGCGCATTCGCAGGTCAGCACATACAAGTGCATGATCAGTGTCTACACATGTGCTCCAAATCCAGCGACAGTTCTGGACGCAGCCTCTCCATCGGTAACTTATCGCAATGTGATCGATCTGCGTCCAAGGCTGTTTCGAGGCTGGTGGGCGCCAAGTCACCCTCCGGCGGGTGCTGTGTCGGAAATTAGTGCTCACAAGAAATAAGCGAGCATCCTCATACAAATGAAGTAACCGCTCACCGTTATCATTACGGGATCCTGCACCATGTTGGCTGCCCAGATGCAGATCATCAGTGGATAATTTTCCAACTCGTGCGTTTAGATCCCCCGCTAGCGCAACAGTGTCCGTGCTACTTCTGTGACGAAGCAGCTGGGTCAGTTGGCGGTAGAAGTAGTTTTTTACCGAATCATCGCTTGAGTTTGTGGGCGCGTAGGTAGCGATGAGGAATAGACACCTATTAGTCCCGCGCGACTTCGAAGCTCGGAACGGGCCAGCCAATCGGACCGCACACATCCGGCTACTGATTGGAATCCAATCAACCAGAGCAGCTTCAGCCCGGGTACTCAGGGCAATGCCAACACCAGCTTGGCCAGTGCTCGAAGCTGCATCGTCACCGGATAGACGCAGGGAGAAAATGCTTCTAGTGTCACCTGAAGGAGATCGCAGAGTGAGGACAGAGCTTGAGTCTTGCAGTCGGGTCTCCGATAAGCAGCAGATATCGATGGAGAGGGTCTCCAATGTTCGGGCAAGTGCTGCCTGTTGACCGATCTGTAGCAATGTGCGTACAATGAGGCATGCCAATCTGAAAAAGGATGGAGGGCTCCAACTGGAAGCCGATGAACTGGGGTGGACCGCTTGATTGGACATGGGCTTGTCGACAGGACAGGACTGACGCTGCGCGTTTGCATATGAGTTGAAACTAGAAGCTAGCCGCCTAGCAAAGCATGTTGGGGGAGGATCAGGGATCGGGGGGGGGGGTATAAAAGTGAAGCTGGAACGGGACGATAAGGGTGAAAAAGCGCAAGAGGGGGAATAAGAAGACCGGAAGGCTTGAGCAGTAGCATCCAAACCCCTATCCACCCTGCTCGATGCAGCAGATAGGGCACCGTTGATTATCCTCTGCGGTGGCCAGAGCATCAGCAATTTGTTTGAAGTGTGATTCATTGTATTGCGTGGGCAAGATACTGTCAGGTTGCCCAGGCCTAGACAGGAGAACGATTAGGGTTCTCAACCAAAGCTTTTGATTCAAAGCCTGACCGCAAGGCAGTAGGCTACAAGGAGTCCGTTTTAAGGAATAAGGAGCCACTTTCATTCCAACCTCCAACCTGGAGTACCAGGAGGCTGAGTTTGTTTGATCTCTAACAATTTACCACTCTGATATGGGTGCCTTTGAAGTACAAAAAGCACCACCCAGCACAGCTCAATGGATCTATGAGGCACGCAAACCATCGCACTACGGTAAAGTTCAGCTTCATTGCGATGGGAAATCGCCCTGTGGTCTCCCCTAATTCAACTCCATACTTCGGCTTGAGCGACCGGGTAGTACCACACTATCTGACGAAACCATATACCGCTGCATCTCTCTTTGACTTCCATGGCTTTTTATTTCTTGTGTCTGTTCCCAAAGTATACACATTTATCTATACACCTGTCATACACATTTTCTTTCCAACTCGGGTCCCATTCTAGGGGCTAGTTCACCTATATGTCTGAAGTTTCATTGCGCTTTGCTCCTCTCACTGTTGAATATCGTTTTTGTGTAGCCGTCACTGTCACTTTGACGAAGGCTGCCTAATTCGTTACATCCTTTCATATCCCTAGTTTCATATAGGTGGCTTATGATTTCATCGCGATAGCTAAATTAGGTTCCAATGTTTCTGCATTTGATAGGTCACTTCAAACCCACGAACTTCCCTTTTAACCAACTTTATCACCTACATTTGTTCTACAACTGTCTACTCATTCCTTCCATTATCTTCAGATTTTCGACGTGTGATGATTACATCAGACAGTATCAGAGCAACACGCTAAAATGCAATCCCGGTTGCAGTATGGAAGACACACTGGAGGTCAGCGACGTCGACTCCTTCGTTTACTATTTTTGTATAAAGTGTATCGGTACGCTGATTCACTTCCCTCTCTCATGCTTTTAACATCCCCTCCTTGTGCACTGCCACTTTTGTGACATTGTCACTCAAACTTGTTCTGCTCGAGATAATCAAAATTTAATTTATCTCCGATCTTCCCTCGTGTTCATAGGACTTTTGTCTTTTTGAACAGCTTCCTTTATGCATTATCTAGTAATTCTGGATGAAAGCAGCCACGTTAAACGAATCAGGCTCTGCGATGGCTCATCTTCTGTTCTGAACCCTCTGCAATATTCCCTACTTCTAACCTACCTTGGGTTTGATGCAATACTTAATTAGCATTAACACGTGCGTTCGTTTTTGTTTACCGTTTCTGCTAGTCACAACTCCGGCATATTGCATAGTTCAAGCCTGTCTATGTCTTACCTGGCTTTCCTTCGTACTTAGTACCGTAAATGTGGTATTGTGACCACTCGATGGGTCAGTCAGCATGCAAACGACTAGAACCTACTTGGTACACAATCTTAGATGGTTTACTTAAATGCTGACTTTGGCATTTGATCTCCAGCTTAACTAAATTAGTTGCACACCAGTTACCGTCTAGACTTCCTCTATCTAGCTCTGTTAGCTTCTGGCGCTCGGTTCTGCCACAATGCTTCTGCGTAATTACTCTCATTCTCGGCTTTATTCAAATTCTTTCTGCTGTTGCCATTACCATACCTGTTTCTTTTCCCATTTTTTCCATCTTTTACTTCATTAACTCATTTGAACGCTTTACGGGATCTACCGCATCAGGGATTAGCGTTTTTTTGAAATGGCGTGTTTGCGAAGCCAATGACTATATCGCTTGGGTTTATTACAACTGCGTATTGGCCTTACTCTCCAGCAATTATGCCTTTTCGCTGTTTTCTCCCCGAACTTCTTTTGTCTATTCATTTCCCCATTATTTTCCGTTTTTCTTGTGGCGACGTGGATCGTAACATTCATTTCCAAGCTGTAGGTCGACGTATCCGGATCCACCATGCTTCTTTGCTCTCAACATAGTTCATAACATGAAATGAGTCAATTTTCCCTTAGTAAGCTCAGTTCATTTTGGGAATCTCGGTTGGAAACCTCATGATTAACGGGCTTATTTTCCGGCAGCTATTTCGCTCCTGTTCCCTCGGTTTGTCGTTCAATTCAAACCAGTTGAACTACCGGTCATTTCCTTTCCCCAATAATCGATATTGGTTACCACTCAGGGCCTCCCAGTTAGTGTTCATAGATTTATGCTTTGCTACTTGTGATGAGGATTTTTACGCATACCTACCACGCTCTTTTTCAGTCTAATCTAAGTCAAGAATTGTCCAAAATCCGTGACGAAGCTGGAGCAGCTTGCAAGCGCCAACTTCATCCGTCCAATTCACCACTTGTAATGGCTCAGTGCGGATCCAAAGGTACATTTTTTATTCTATTCTTCTGCGCGTCATCTTTTATGACCCACCGGTCTTATGCTCCACGTCAACGTTTTATTGTTGACCATTTTCTCCCTTTATCTAGGGTCCTTTCTCAACATATCCCAAATGATTGCCTGTGTCGGCCAGCAAATCATTGGCGGCAAACGTGTCCCCGATGTCATCAACGGACGGAGTCTCATCCATTTCCCACGAGGATCCCGCACTCCGGAGGCCAAAGGATTCGTCGGAAACAGTTTTTATTCCGGTTTAACACCATCCGAGTTTTTTTTCCATGCTATGAGCGGTCGGGAGGGTCTGACCGATACCGCTGTCAAAACGGCAGACACTGGGTACATGCAGCGCCGTTTAGTCAAGGTGAGTCCTGCTTTCATCATTGCTTTGTACGGCACCCACGCTATCCTTCCACTGTTATCCTTATTCAAAAATAATCGGGACGTACCGTGGTCGTGGTCGTATCGTATGTAGTCTTCGCCAAACCTTAGAGCAGAGACACGCACATACGGAAGATCGACTATGGTGGTTTTCCTTAACCGAAATGCCGCCTTGGGCTCTGCTGACCGCGCCAGCTAGCAGCACTGCCTATCCATAAAGGGCGTGCCAGCTAAATTCCTTTCCATTCTAATGTCTCTACCATGACTCCCGAGGCCGTGTAAATGTCTACGGAAAACTCTCCTGAGTTCCTCACGACAACTGGGGTTCGTCAGGGTTGTCCTATATCTTCTTACCTTTCCAACTTTGTTACCGTAATGATCATGAGTTACTCAATTCTTCCAGACTGTGCCGGAGTGGAATTCCTACCATGGGACCGACTGGCAAACCTGGAGTATGTGGACGGCATAGCTCTTCTTGGGTCTGACGTAGTGGTTATGCAAGCACTACTGGATAGACTGACGCGTAACGCTGCACACTTCGGCGTGTGCTTTGCATCTTCAAAGTGCCAATTGTACACACTTCCGGTTCTAGCTAGTTCTGAACAGCCATTGGAAGTTGTAGATCTGTTCATTTACCTTGGTATCTGTGTCTCCTCTGGTGGTCACAACACTGCGGAAGTTACTTCGCGTATCAGCAAGGTCCGTGTGACTTTTCAGAGACTCAACCATCTATGGAGACGGCGGGATATCAGCCTGTCAGTGAAACGTAAGGTGTATACCGCTGCGGTAAGGTCGGTCTGACTGTATAGGTCAGAGACCTAGCCAGTTGGCGGCGAAGGTATTAAACGCTAGGACCTTTTTGATCTCCGGTGCTTGCGGGGTATTGTTCACATCTGGTGCGAACACCGGATGAGCCATTCTGAGGTCCGCCGTTGGTTTTTGGCAACAAGCCTTCTGGTGCCTCACTGGAGTGTGCTGAATCTTAATAGCTTACGTTGCTAGGCGTTGTCCTCCGTATGCCCATTGACCAGCATCCTCGGCTTGCGTTATGCGCCGCCGCTACACCAAGTTTGGCGAAACCGCGAGGTGGCCAGTCCATGACGGGCTACAGAGGCATGAGGAAATCGGCTGAGGCAATTGCTCAGACTGATGCTTGCCGTCTTCGCGGATGGGAGCCTAGTGATGGTCCACACCTATGGCGCAGTCAGTGGCGTTCCTACATTCGGTTTCTCGCATCTGGTTCTTTCCATTCTGATTAGTTTAACGTACTTCTTTCTCCCTTTCATTTTCTTTACTTTCTGTTTACATTCAATCCCATTATCTTACTGTTCCCAATTATTGATATGCTGGCGATGTGAGCACCGGTGCTCGGATCGTAGTTGATCAACTGAACTGAACTGAAGTACTCGTGTCAGCACATTAAGCGGCGCAAAACCAACATGGATTTTGTTTTATGTATGTCATAGAATTGCAGACATTTTCTGTTTATACTGCTAGCTATTGAAGATCGACTCCTTCGGTCAACGTTAGTCCGAGAAGCGTAATGTACTGTACGTAACCATGTAGATTCACACACTGCTCCGATGTTGCTAGCAAGCTGGGGTTCGTGAACTTTGAACAAACAAAGTTGGCTATTGCATCAAGGTGAAGAAATTTCGGCACCCATGGATGGACACATCGGAAACCGGAAATATATTTTCTTCCTTTCTACTGATCTACCGTTTTCCACTAAATTTACTTCATGAACCGATTTACCTAGCACAACTCCCATCCCTTTTCTGTAACTACCCTCCCTAACTGACCTATACCGCATATTTTTTCGTTAGTTTGGCATTATTAGGTGCGTCGCCGAATTAGTATTCATTCTGACATTCAACAAATCCTGCCCACCGTTATGGTTGCGATCTCCGGTTTCGGATTTGTTTTCCACCGCGGCCTCCACGAGGACAGCCACAGAACGCCTTCGCCTATAGATGGACCATGGGTGGCTTGCGCCGCACCATCCACAGCTCCAACCACACACCCCATGTCCACTGTAAACCCGAAGGAATATGACCGGAAGGTAGGTGGATGGGAGCCACGTTTCATCAAGGGAGCAAACGCAAGCACGCTGTATTTGGGAATCAAGCGCACACAAGGCGGTGGTTGTACCGTGGTCCACTCCACACTGGATGAAACCATCCTTTGAGCTTATGACGGCCACGAGGACCGTGCACCCCGTCCCCTCCAGCAATTCGGGCCATCTGTCTCTTAGAGCCAGTATGGACGAGGTAGTGGGTAATAGACAGGTAGGCATATTGTCAACATACACATCAAAGGCACTTACACCGGGGATGTCAAGCAACAGCCAATCGCTTGTAATGACGAAATCGAATAAAGCATGCGGATATACCGACTGAACTTTTCATTAAATAAGCATATGAAATAAATGTGCTACCAACATATCCGAGATAAACTCACGATGGCAGAAAAAGATCAAAAATATATGCAACAAACATGAATAAAGTTAACGAAGTTAACCACCTTTCGTTTAAGCTACCTGTGTAACTAACTAGAAGATTATTCAGATAGACATTAACATGAGGTAACAAAGTGAGCGTTAACAAAATATAGCAGTCCGATCACATGAAATAAAGTAACTCAGCACGCAAGCACAGGGTTAGTAAATCAAATGCAGCGCCAGTTCTGCTTACCTTCTCAGCAGCACCCGTCAACTTCTCGATGCTGATCTTACTCGTGGCTAACATTTGGGGGAACGATGCAACGAATTAAGAAAAGGTGTAGACCAGCATGACTCAGGCACTCGCGACCGCATGGGCTACAGCACCATTCGCTCGACGTCAATGGAGTACACTCCATCTGCGCCTGCTGCTTCTGCAACTGCCGCTTCTTCTCCGCATGAACAAAGACTTTCTCTTGCACTTCGGCAACTGCCTTCGTGATTACATCGCGCCATGCACGCCGATCAACCGCCTTCGATTACCAACACCTGAAATCAACATTAGGACCTGAAAGGCCCACCTTGATCATGTCCTGGTAACGAAGCTTCGGTTTCCTTACATGCCGCTTCCCCAAACTCAACTGACCATTTAACAGCTGCTTCGGTATGCGCGTCGAATCCATACGGCACACATGACCGAGCCACCTTAATTTTTCTCAGCAAATGTATACAATCCACTGCATACATTCCAATTCGGCGCAACATCTCTGTGTCTGCAACTCTCTCGCACCAACCAATGCGCAGAATTTGTCGCAGACACTGTTGATGGAACCGCTCGAGACATCGCACATCCTAACGATACCTCATCCAAATTTTGTTACCGGATAGAAGACCGGACAGCACCATGGATTTGTACACCATCAGCTTCATGCCAATGGTAAGCTGATGGTTGTTCCACGCTGGGTACTCTAGCTTTCCGAATGCCGCTGCTACCTTTGATGCAAGGATACAAAGCTCACTATATATTTGCTGGTCAGTCGAAACCGCACTCTCAAGGTAGCAGAAGCGGGAAGTGCTTTCCAATGTTTCATCACCAATGCTGATTTGCGACATTATTACAGATTACCCCTACAGTGGAGGGTGAACAGGACAGACAGTTTTGCTTGTGTTGCTGGTGAGCCCGAATTTGGCCGCTGGCGAAGTCAGAGCACTAGTCATGTGCTGTAACTCATCCGCGCTGTGTGCAAACAACGCACAGTCGTCAACAAACAGCAACATACGGATAGTTGTCTCACAGACTAGAGTTCTCGCATCGAAACGACGGATGTTCAACAACCCACCATCAATACGGTGCTCCACACGAATACCGTAAGCACAAGCGGCATCAAAGCACAAGACAACATTGCATGAAGATATATATTAAACGGGACAGGAGCTAAGACACAGTCTTGCTTCACACCAGAGATAACTGCAAAATCATCCGAGGTCTCCCCACTCAGCTGCACCCTCACTCGCATACCACTGTGCAGACATTCAATTAAACTTACAACTTACTCGGACAACCAAACTTACCCAACACCAGCCACAATGCCTCGCGGTTCACCGTATCAAATGCCTTGATGAAATCAACAAAAAGCGAGTACAATGGCTGGTGTCGTTCTGTGCACTTCTCCTGCAACTGACAAGCCGCAAACACCATATCTATAGTGCTGGGACCCGAACCGAATCCACACTGCTCTTCCGCCACGTTCGGTTCCACAACCTGACTGAGGAAGAGGTTGAGCAAGATTCGGGCACATAATCAATTCACTGACTCATGCGGATTGGTGTGTCCTGGCTATTAACTAGTAGAATGGCGTAACCCAACTCTCACCCAGCGGTCGCCACGAAGAGGCATCCAGGACATGAGTCCACAGCACAACATTAGCAACATTGGGTCGACGATCTGTCAAGATCTAGCCACCACAAGCCTCAGCGCACCATAGGCTCTACGTTTACCGTTATTCTTTATTCACCTCGGGATAATATTTCACTGCCGCTTTCTTTGGTGATGGTGCAAAGACCTCAATGTGTGAACTTCCTTGGCATGCTGTCGTTAGCATCAGGAAGCTGACACTCTCATGTAACGCATTCGTAGCTGCTCTGCCACACGCAATGCATATAAAGCTAGTAGTGGACAAAACGGCAACACAACTGAACCCTTAATAAAGACATCCAAAGCTGCTCTCTATTACATTGTGTATGCGCGCTTGATATTTTCCTTTATTCTTTCCTTTACGATTTCTATGCTCATCCCACTTACCAAAGTATCCACTCTACTTTGTGTATTTTCTATTATCTTCATCTCTATCTACGCTACTTTGTTAGTTTCTGGAAGATCTCACTGTCGCCTATGACAACACGGTGCGTGATAGCCGTGGCGATATTGTCCAATTCTGCTATGGCTCCGATGGACTGGACCCGCTTGAAATGGAAACGGAGAAATTCCCTGTGGATTTGGCCAAAGAGTTGGCTGGCATCAGGGTAAGTTACCATTTATCTCCTTGTTCATAAATAAATAAATATTAAATAAATAGATAAATCTTTTATTTCTCGACGAGGCGAGAGATTATTCCCACATGGGGAAAGATCAAAATATGTACAGTTTTTTTTCGTTTAGTCCCTTCAACATATTAGATGTGGATGTGCATTATGTTATATCCATGTCAGTTTCACACATGTACGTTGTTCAGGGTGAATTACAGAAGGTTGTGCTGGGTTTATAGCCTCCGTTAACGGATGTCCCGTCGATCTGGACCAGCGCAGTCTGACCAAAAGGCGAAAATGGGACTTTCGTGGATGAGCCATTCTTTCAAACTACCGCTGACGCGCAATCCAACTTCATCGGTCGATTAAAACATGTTCAGAAGTCCCAGTCTGTGGTGAACTCAGGGAGAAAATAATATAAACAATAGTATCAAGGTAGCTAAGGAACGGCTGTAAAACGATTACCAGTAACAATAAATAAAGTTTAAATATCTGGCAAAGAATTATCCACACAAATGGACATCAGTTTGCACGGATTATATACGATTTGGCAAGCGTTCTTGTAATTTCCCCAGTAGTTGTTTTGGGACATCAAAAAATGCGGACTCATGCCGGTTGCCTTACTTTATGAGAAAAGTACTTCAGAATAAAACGGAGATTCTAATAGCAATGGACTCTGGCGCTAAGTACAATGAGAGCGAAAGGTGACTCGTTTGGTAGATGACAACATTTCAGTGCCACGCAGCTATAATAGGAAAAGCGACTTAGATGATGGTAACATAATTTTTAAATTGTCAAACGAAGTCTAAAACGTGTGGTTTAACACAATATTTGTGATCATGAGTTGTTGTGGAAAGCATTATGGCCGATATACTCCGGATTATTACGGCATACAGTAAGGCTTGTGTGCATCACCAGCCATAATAACCTTGGTGGTTATTCTGAACGATATTGACTTTTATTACGCTAGGGTAAAGTACGGATAATAGTGTAAGCGTGGAAGAGCAAGTCTGTGAAAATTAAGAACTAGGTGTCCACCCATCACAACCTGAGATTTAACAGGCACTTGGTAGGAAATGGCGCCAGCTAAAAGAGAATTTAATGAAGATGGCCAAGGTAGAGTGTGGAGGCGGTCGAAAATCTTGGAAGCCCGGCTGTCCGAGATGACAGGGGCCACTCTGACACCCGGTTAACTTTCGGGCCAGGTTACCTGAATATGAAATATTGAAGAGCAACATGATAATAATGTACGGGAAAGGATCTGTCTTCTCATTTTACCAATCTGCCCGTGATGGCGAGCGTTCAAGTCTGCTAAAAGTTCAGAAATGATGCAGGCCAAGATGAGGTGAAGTAGGGTGACAAAAACCTGGGTCACTTCTGTTGTTTCATCAGAGGAATAGTTAACCAACTATCTGGAATATTATGGTATGGAGTACAGAGGTGAACCTTTTTTTCAAACCAAGACAAGGCAAAATATGAGATCAGATGATCAGTAACCAGTGCAGGACGGTTAGGAGAGTCAGTGAAGCGAAGTGAACCGAAATCTTCAAACGCTAGGAAACGCGGTAGCCTAAGTGTGACAAACAAAACATTGAACATAGCAAAAGGGAAAATAAAAAGGACAAATAAGCAAGCTCAGAAGTTGATGTACCAGGTGAGATCTAAGCCGAGCAGCATTTGGAATGCGGTAGATGTGAGGCTCGACCTTTAAAGTTCTATAGGGCCTTAAAGCGGAATTTAGGTAGCATGCTGTGTGGTTGGGTTGCGACTCGCAACTTCTATTGAGACCTCGGCTTACTTTGAGGTAAACCTCGGTCATTCCGATCTCGAGGACCTTATCCTGAATGGATATTTCTATATTCTATAGGGCATCTCTCAAAAATATCTAGAGTTGTAGATTCGCCAAGTATACGTAATACCTCCTCTACGGTGAGGGGGTTGAATACTTGACCCCGAAACATAGGTTTAATGTTGATGCATCTAATGGATTCTGTCAACCTATTTCATAACCTTGTATACCTTATGAGAAAGAGTTTGTCTCCCAACCTTGTACGCACTCTAGGGACGCAAAAGCTGCATGATGTATTTCTAGTTGGGTATTGATGGAAAGTGCCAAACTGGACAGTACCTGGCTCCCCAGAACTGGTATGCGCTAAATCAAACAGAAAGATAAGATTAATCTTAATTCTTCTCAGCCATAGTGGTTCTAGCTTCAGCAGTTTACACCGTTGTTGATAATTCAAGGATCCAAACCCTAGTGACCGTTTGGTAAAAGAACGTTGTACTTTTTCAACATTGATTTTGTCGTGCCTTTTTAAATTTTTGAATACTAATGGGCAATATTCTAAGACTGGACGCGCATATGCCTTATACGTAACTAGCCTAGAGTATTTCAAGCGTAACATATTGGAGCTACGTGCTATAATAAATGTCACTTTGGCGGTGACATGATGTACCTGTTCTGAGAAATTGAAAGAGCTTCAGTGGCGAACTTCGAAGTAACAAATCTTGCAGCAGGTAATTGGTTTGTCATCTAGCGTCAGTACGTCATTAATAAGTTTGCATCCAAAGAACAGAGCTTTACATTTACCAACAGAGAATGTCATTTTTCACTCTCGGCACCACCGCTGAAGGGTGAAGAACTCATCTGTATTGTTTGAACACTGTTTTGTTCATTTATGCTATCAGAAGCGGAAACAACTTTGATATCATCCGCGAAAACAAAGGGTCTGCCATGTCGGAAAATTCGGAAAATGTCATTTATGTATAGTAGGAATAACAGTGGGCTTAAAAAGCTTCGCTGGTTACTGGTATAGGTGAAGATACCCAGTTTCCAACTCTGACACATTGAGTGCTTGTAGACAAGGAAAATGACAGCCATGCTAGTAATGGGTTAGCAAACCAATAAGAGGCCAACTTTGTCAGAAGTTCTATATGGGGTACGCGGTCGAATGCTTTTTCCATGTCTAAGAAGAGAATAACCAACGACTGCCCGGAGTCAGCCAACTTGGTTACGTAGTCCAGAAATTCAAATTGGCAAGTTTGACATGAACGACCACGGAGGAATCCATGTTGCGATCTGTCGATCAGATTTTGTGAATTAAGAAACTCCATGACTCTTTCTTTGATTATTCTTTCCATAATACGAGTCAATATCTAAGTATGGCTAATGAGACAGTAATTTGATAACTCGTGACATGATCCACCTTGCTGTCGGGGTATGACCGTGGCCCGTTTCCACCTAGTAGGGTATGTATGATTGGCGGCATCCGGTTTCGGATTTGCCTGTCACTGTGGCCAGCCACAGGACGCCTGCGCCTACAGAGGGACCATGGGTGGCTTGCGCTGCACCACCCACACACCCCATATCCAGTGTAAACCCGAAAGAATAAGACCGGGACGCATGCGGATGGGAGCCACGTTTCATCAATGGAGCCAGCCCACACTCCTTCACAGGCAAACACAAGCACGCTGTATTTGGGGAATCAAGCGCACACAAGGCGGTGGCTGGACCGTAGTCCGCTCCATACTGAGTGCATGGAACCACTCTTCGTGCCTAGCACGACCACGAGGACCGTGCACCCCGTCCCCTCCAGCAACGACCAACTGTCTCCTGGAGCCAGATGGACGAGGTAGTGGATAATAGACAGATAGGCACCTTGTCAACATGCACATCAAGCGCAGCCACACCTGGGATGTCAAACAACAGCCAATCATTCGAAATGCCGATATCGAATAAAGTAAACGCATATGATGACATAAATACTCGCTAAATGAGCATATGGAAGAAAGTGGTTAATTGTAAATTCGCGATAAGTACAAAATGTCCGAAAGTTATTTAAAAAATACCACGCGATAAAAATAACGCAAGTTTACCACAATTTGCATAAGCGACGTGTGTAAGTTGGGAGAAGATTATCAAGTACACAGAACAAACGAAATAAAATGGAATGAATTTTATCCACCTTAAAAAGACCTAGTTTAAGTGTAAGTTGGTTTAGCCCAACTGCGGTGAAGAAGTATCATGAATGCGACATCAGCCTCAGCATTGGGCACACATACATACATGGTTGGCGGCATCCGGTTTCGGATTTGCCTGTCACTGTGGCCAGCCACAGGCCGCCTGCGCCTACAGAGGGACCACGGGTGGCTTGCGCTGCACCACCCACAGCTCCATCCACACACCCCATATCCGGTGTAAACCCGAAGGAATAAGACCGGGAGGCATGTGAATGGGAGCCACGTTTCATCAACGGAGCCGGCCCACCCTCCTTCACGGGCAAACACAAGCACGCTGTATTTGGGGTATACACCAGTCTTAATTGACAAGGTGAATATGTTCAGCAAAAACAAGGGAATGTCGGGCCCAGCAAGTTTAAGCAATGCTGGTGGTGTGCTGTCAGATCCAGGGTGAAAAAATGCTTTAGGGCGGCTATTTGCCTGCTTATACCATACAGGTTGAACTCAACTGTCTCTGTTGTTTCATTGGTGAGTAGAGGCAATCTTTCTTGCGCAACACAGGTGCCTGTATTGAACGAGGAGGAGAAATGTTTATTAAATAACTCACAGAGCTCATCGGGGTCGGTAGTGAGACTGTTATCAGATAAGACAATGGTTATAGGTTGATGACGTTGTGCTTCGTATCTGACTAAACGATGTGACATGTGTTTGCAGCTGGGAGCTGCTAGCGCTTGTGCCTCTTGTGACATAAGTTTTCTTTCATGTCGGTCTTGCAAGTCTTTTGGAAATTTATCGGTTTATATGATCGCACATATATCATTCATTTTCCTAAACCTAAAGCACAAACCTTTTAGACGCATCGCAACAGCTTTAGGAATGGGATTTTGAGGACGAGGCAATAGCTGTTTTCTATATCACAGTGGTACAAACAGGTCAGTGCAATAGGTCAGATGTTGGTAGAACTCATCAGCTCCGATATCTGGACAGTCTGTAAGGAAAAAGCCATCCCAGTCAAGGGGTCCAATAGTCAGAGAGAAGCTGTTCCAGTCCAATTTACGATATGGTCGATATTGGTGGGCATAGTGAGAGTTCCTTACCGTTATTTGGGCAACCTTGAAGGTTAGTTGGATAACCTTATGATCGCTCCCAGGGAGATTACTAAGAGTCTGTGTTTGTGCATTGGATATGCCAAACGTGAAATACAAGTCTAAAATGTTACTGCCTCTAGTAGGAGAGCATACTTGCTGTGTCCATCCACGAGTGACTACTGACGAAAGAAAATTCCGATACTTAGCGGGTGTTGTTCGTTCCTGCCACGAAACATCGGGCATGTTGAGGTCGCCACCTATAATTTTTTGAAAGAACGGCATCTCAGATGCCCATTCGAACAATTCAGTCAATTGGTTTACTTTGGCCTTGGTATCGCCGGGCGGCATGTAAATGCAACCGACGAAAAAACGACAGCATTTAATCTTAACCTGTATTCCGACCAAGTCAACCATGCTGCTTAACGAAGCAGCCTCCAATCTACTCGCTCCTGAAGCATCATTAACGTACACAACGTAACCGCCACCTCGACCAGTAAGGCGGCCACTAGCAAAAGTTATGAAGCCAGGAACAAGTAGCTCTGTGCACTGCAAACCATACCATGTTTCCGTTACAAGCACAACATGTGGTCGAGAGAAGGATAATAAGGATCGTAGCTGATACATCTTGTTCGCCAGCGATCTAGCATTCGTTAGAAGAAGGTTAACTGCATCATTTTGGAATAGAAGGCTTGTTGCCTTTAACACCAGCCTGCTGGGGATAGAATTATCTAATACTGTATTCTCTGAAGATTGTTGAGAGGCAAGGTCACGCTCAGTTTGGCTGTATTCATCTTTGCCTGTATCAAAGGACCTATGGGACCTTGCGGCACCGTATGGGGTGCGTTTTACAGGGACCGTGGTGCAGGCCACAGATAATGAAGCATAGTCTGTGGATGCGTGGCGGGAGTGGGAACTGGGCTGGGGGAGGCGGTTTGTGGCAGTGTACAGGGCTTGAGGAACCATGTGGTGCATTCTACATCCCAAATAACTGGCTGAAATGCGTCGGGAGGAGTGGAGATAGGAAGGGCGCCGGGTGAGGCGGTGGGTTCCCCCCCAAAAAAGCAATTGCATGTCAGCCGCATGTTTGTAGTGGTTCTCCAAGAGTAGAAACATATTGCGATGGTCGACTACATGACTGAGTGGATACTCAAAATGTGGTACCGGTTGTGAGAGAGATTCCATGAGAGGGTGCAATCTTGCTAGTGTACTTACCATCATGGCAAAGACTTCTTTGATAACTCTGAGTCTAACCGTTTTTGCATGAATCCCATGAAATTTTTGTTCTGATCCAACAACGTTTGCCGCAGCCTTGGACATGTAGGGCTTACCGCGTGGTTGGCCTTTAGTTTTACTACCTATCTGGGAAGCAAGCGGCGTGTTGCATTGTGGCGCTTGTGGTCTATTTTGCACTAATTTATGCCCGACAGTGATTTTAGCCTTTATACGTATGGTATCCACAGGCTCATTGCCTCTATACTGTCCACCCAGCGGCTGGGCACACTTCGTGGAACCTGAACTGCCACTGTTAGTGGGGACAAATTTACTATGATCCTGAGGACTATTAGGAGAAATGTCACTCAAAGGCTGAACTGGGTCAGTGCCAAATATACTGCCTATTCCTGGGGAAGCTGTTTTAGACGGACTAGATGATGCCGATTTTATAGGTGTAACACCCTCGTTGCGTGATACATTGGAGTTCCTATTGTCAAGGTCCACTTCGGCATCCAGGTTTACGTGGCGGTGCATATTTACAGGAGTGTTCTTTCGGGCCTACCAGTGATCGTATGCTTCGAATCACTTCTCACTGGAGTGTTGTCCTTTTTAAGAATTCTCACTTCGAAACCGGGTCTTGCGGCTATAAGACTTTGAGAGCGAATGATGTTGCCGGCATTTGCTTCGTCAGAGAGCTTGAACACGACCGGTCAGCAATGTTCCGTCGAGTTATTCTTTAATCGAATGGATGTCTAACGTAAGTTACTGGCTTCAAGCATGATCTTTGCTACGATTTCGATTTTGGCCTTATCAGATAGATTGAACACGGCTACATTGTTCTGACGACGGCGTATACGTTCACAAGCTTCTGATGGAACTGCCGAGATGAAGTATGAAGCCTTGTGCAAGTACTCTAGTTTGAGTTTATCAGGCATACTACACACAAGTAAGAGAAGAGAAACAGCAGGATACAGAAGTCGTCTATTGCCGAGAGCTTTTCATTGATGGATTTGACGTCCTTTTTAATCCGATCTACTCTCTTCTATATTTCTGTAGGGTTTTGGTAGTAGAAGATAAACGATTTTTGTGCATTTTATTAGTTTCTTTAGGTTTACGTACTTTTACAGCTTTATTAGAAACTTTCTTTATTTGGTAGCAGCGCATTTGTGGCCGAGTTGTTCATCCTGGAGGTTGGAAATACCAGGGAAGCAAATCGCTTCTCTTCGTCGCCATAGCAATGAGAAGCCGTCACGATTACCTACTCCACTCTGTAACCACCAGCTTTGTGCTCCTTGACATGAGTGCCAAAGAGCGAGAATGCTTCAGCCTGGTAACACTACGGAACCACCTGGCAATTGTGTTTGGTCTACGCAATTGTATGCCAACGTGCGTTCGTACATATTACTTACTACAATACTCTTTTTATCGCTAGAAAGCACTCGTCAAATATATGCATCGGAGTTACGGTTTCAGCACCACATCTGACACAATTGTTTGGCGAGTCTACTACGATCTTTCACCGTTTGTGAACCCATCATCATTGCTCGTTTGCACTTATATGTCCATAAGTAGCTTATCGCCTCCCTTTCATGGCTTTTTCATTAAGCTTAACCGACTTATTAGCGCAACCTTCTTACCACAACATTTCGCGTTACATAGCTCGCGTTACCAAATATGCGGAAAACGCGGCATAGCTCACTAAAATCCGAACTCGTCAGTGCACCACAACACCGTTGTCTTGTGCGGCCCGTGTAATAGTAGCTATCGCTGTGTGCATTTAAATGCGAAATGAAAACGGGCGTCGCCTGCTAATCGAGCCTTGGAGGAAAGTGCAAAACTCCAATGCGAACCCAAAATCTGGGCTTAAACTGGGTCGGTTTGATTGTGCAATAGACTGAATCGATAATTGGCAATTAGGTACCAGGAGAAGAATACGTTACAAAAGTGCAGAGCATGTAGCTCTTAATGTGATCGTCGGTTGTCCACTTTTTACGTGCGATGCAGTTCTTGTAATCCACGCTTTATGGAATCTCTTTCCTAAATTGCCTATCGCTCTGGTTGCCTGCGTCTACCGTACATATGCACATGCGCAACAGCTATAGATGAATTGGTCTGCTCCATACGTACACCTCCTCTCAGTTTAGTCCGAAGACACATGAGGTATTCATACGAGTGGAATCCGCGCTTGCCTCTGAGCTGACGGCCATTTCTTCTGCGTCCATTACTTCTTCTGGACCTAACAGGTTGCTTAGTTGGGGGATCTTGCTACCCAATGATTGTCATTCACCTAGGCGATGTCTTCTGGTTCAAGTCTTCCGGTAGCAGCCATCCGTCTCGTAATACCCCAAGTGGGTGACCATATGAAGTTCTGTGCTGACGAATTTGATAGCTCTTTACGAATTCTTGTGTGTTTGAGAGGAACTTCTTGGTTCAGTGTAAGTTTGAAGTCATCTAGGTTGTTTTTAATGAAACGTACATTTAATTACTACACATTTCGTTCGGGTAACATTTCGGAGATAAATCCAAGGGTGGAGAAATGCAGCTAAGATTTTACTTTGAAATTAAGCAGTCTTCATCACGAATTTTTCAAACATATTGACTTGCTTTGGGTGAGATGAGCGAAATCATTTTGCTCCACTTAGTGACTCATCTGACTCCTGGGCTCGCACTCCTAGTGTGTACAGTACTCATCGTTCTGCTGACCGTTTCACAGCGAATACTACCCTTTAATTACCCACTGCAATATTTCTATTTGTTTTTGGCAACGTTTGCCCTTTTCATTTCCCGGTATCCTTAAATAGCGAGTAAGTCACTTTGAATGCTTCTTGCATTAATGCTCACATTACATTCCTTGCTGGCTGTTCACACTTGACCCACTTTATTGCAGGCTAGTTTACCATGTCTCGACGAGGAATCTATGACTCCCGAGCAAATTGATTTGGCCCTCCGTGCTGCCTTTGAACTAGACGCATTTGCTGGACTTGGCCATACTGCCCACACGGAGATACAGTACGTTTACTGCTCCTCACTTTTTGCTCTCGGTACTTATGCATCTCAAAGGGTGGCCACGGATCGAACTGCGAGTTTCCCTTGTGTCTGCTCACCGCTCCCTCTGTACATGGTTGATACTCAGTGTGAATGGTTTACCAGTCGTCAGTTTGGTCTCTTCTCACCATCGCCCTTTATCAGCCACATGTGAGATGTATGCACTGCTTTCGATCTTCCTTGTCACTCCGCACACTCATCAGTCAATCTCGATGAAACGTTATCTTCCAATTAGCCTATTTTTAGAAGTGTCGCATGTCTACCGTTTTTCGACATCGCTTTTTTCGATATACGATCTTTACATGGAAGTGTCGTTTGAACGGATCCGTTGTTTCTCTCACCAGGGAACCGAATTTCACCCACCAACTGCCCCTTTTTACCTCTTTCCCTACACGGCAGTGAAACAACTTTTACTCGTGCAAACCTGAGAAGTTCACAACTTCGTGTGGCAGACGGGTAACAGACAAAAAATGGGCTGTGCTCATGTGCCACGCAAGTTTTCACTGGACGGTACAGTTTGTCGAAAATCAACGTTGAGAGGAAGTGCCAAGAACACACAAATCACTGAGGCGGACTGTGATCCATTCTAGAACCTCCAGTCGTACATTCTCATCACCTATGTGTATCCGCACGCCTTTTATACCGGGCGATTTCATCTCCGATAGCAATGTATCCATACCGTGATTGCGACATAGCTCGTTTTGCACCTCTTCTTATACTTCAGCCTGGTGCCCAACTATTTAGATGCAATCGAGCCGTATGCATATGTCGGTCTTCTGTACTGGATTTTATAACCATAACACACAGTTGCACGTTGCTCATTGATGCCCACTGTCTCTCTTTGCGATTTGGCGTGCTTTTAGTCACAACGTACTGCTGTCCTAACTCTCGGTTACCGTTTGCGTTAATTTACCCTGCCATCTGCTGCGCACTCAAGCCTTAGAAGTTGCGGCTCCATTTCAAGCTTGTTTTTGACTTGTCCTACAGCGGAATAAAAATATCTTCCCTTGTCTCTTATTCCTTTGCTCACTAGTCGTTTCATCTACCGCCCTCTTGCAGAAAATTCTTTACAAACTCTGTGAGCCCCGCTATTCGAAGTTGGCAAGCGTTCTGTATGTCCCACTCTGACCTATCTCCTGTGCAGATGCGCTCACACAACGAGCGATTGACCCGAACTCAGCTAAGGATCTTCCTCACGCGAGTCAAAGAGAAATACGAGAGGGCATTGGTTGAACCAGGCACTGCCGTAGGCGCTTTGTGTGGTCAATCCGTCGGTGAACCCGCCACGCAAATGACATTGAAGACATTTCACTTCGCAGGCGTAGCCAGCATGAACATAACGCAGGTCAGCCTTTTACGTACTCTTTTCGATTGAGTTAAGCCTTCCGACTTCTGGATCATTATGTCTACGGCCTTTTTCGTCCGCACGTAACTCTTTAGGAATACTTGTGGTTTGTGGTTCACATTTTGGCATCTGTGCAGGAACTCTCTGTGTAGCACAACATTCACAATGAACCTATGAATTGTGTTTGTGATCATTAAGGATGGCAATGGATTGACACGGTCTTTGGTGTTTCACTTCAGAATACGAACATTTTAACTCAACTGTCCTCTTGCGAGTTTATGGCCATGAGACCACTGACCACGGTGCCTGCGATGTGTCACAATATCCTGGGCCCCTCATTGGATGTACTACTTGACATTTGACGGGGACAAAACGATGGTGAACAGTAAATGGCGCCACCAAAGATGGAGAGAATCTTCATTATCGCAAAACTATACTATTTGATTTCGCTTAGTAATGCAACCACATGTGACTTATTGTTTTCTTTCAAACTGCTATGTGTGGTCTTAAATGCGGGGTCTTTTTCCTGTTGATGTCATGTTGTCGTTAATGTAGTCCAACTAGTCTACTGACTCCGTTTTTTCTATCTAGGGTGTCCCTCGAATGCGCGAAATTGTCAACGCGGCTACAAAAATCAAAACTCCCCTCATCTCAGTGACGTTGATTGATCCATTTTCCGCGTCTTTGGCTCGTCAGGTCAAAATGGCCATTGAACCAACGCGGTTAGCTGACATTTCCATCACCCTTCGGCAATGCCTTACTCCGGAAGACGTTTACGTGGCAATTGAGTTGGATGAAAAACGGATGATTCGCCGAGGAATCACTGCGGCTCACGTTGCCTTGGTGCTACAGCAAGCAAAGCTGCGTAAAGCGAAGCTATCGGTTAGTGATTTGGGCACATGCCTCATGCTTATCTGCCACTTCTAGTGTTCAGCACACCCTCACTGCATACCAAAGCGCATTCAGTCAGATTGCATAGTCTCTTGTGCCTCTTTTCTCCTGTGTGTATCTTAAGCAGTCTTACAACCCCGTATTACTCCTCACTCATCCTATGGATGGGTCCTCTGTACCATGTGTCAGGACCCAGGCTGTCGCCCTGTGATTCACACAGTGGACTCGCCTGAATCCGCCACTTTTCACACTACAGCCAAAGACCACAGGGTGTACTTGATACCTGTTTCGTTTTGTGTCCCGTTCCCCGCTTTGGTATCCCCTATAATTTTATCTATCCTGTGTTTCATGGGTGCATGCGTCGGTGGTTAGCGCGTCAACTTGGTTACATCAGTCATCAATAACTCCATCAGGCGTTTTTCCTAATTGTTCATCACCGCGCAGCATTCAATCAAGAGAGACGATCCTATCAATGTGCCAGGAGCAAAATCCTTCCATATGCTTAACATATTTAGCAATCGTTCGAAGTCTCACCACTTACATCTTACCGATACTGGCTATTCACGAATGCCTGGCTACCGTGTGAAGTTGAGATAATGTTGACGAGTCGGTTACCCTGCAGCTTCCACTTCCTAGCATCATATTCATTTTTACATTGTAACTAGCACCAGTTGCTGAAATGTTCTCTAAGGTCTCAAACCAAACCCAGGGTGGGCCGCATAGACTTCGGCTTCAAAGGCGAGACGCGCCTATAGCACCACTCTGTTTCATCATCCATATCTTCCTTTCCCTCCTTTATGTCAACGATTGGTCCGCGGAGCAGTGCAAATCCCCCCTCCCCATGGTAAGTGGTGGGCAAGGCCAACACGTTTCACTCAGGCTCATTTGTTAGCCTATCTGAGCAAATTGGCCAGTGCATAGAGCCTGCCTGCGCATCTCATGGCTGCTAACAAACTAATGTCACCAGACACGCATTGCAATGGTTGTGACGATAGTCAAAGATTTGTAGGTACTCAGACGGAAGGCGCCACTGCTGCGGAAGAGAATGCCCCTCCTAGTTGTCCCGTATACATAACTTTTAAGGACGAGTGTGATCTCTTGCTGGTGCTAAAAATGTCTTGAAAGCAGTTCTTTCTTTCGCGATATACTTGAAAATTTCAATAGCCATCTGCTCATCACTGCAACCACCCCTTCAGGTTAAGTAAATTGACCGGCGACGTCCACTTCCTCGGTGTCAAGCATCAAGTTATGCACGATTCCGTCATTGCACCATACGTTTCGAAGATGTATAGCGCGTATGGAAGTACGATATCACTCCTGACGGGTTGTCGAAGGCTGACTGTATTACTCCGCATAGCAATATGAGGCCGTCTTTCCCCAAAGCGGGGTCTGGACACGCACATTGCACATTCCATAACGGAGCACTCCTCGATAAAATTCACTGTGAAATTCAGTAGAACTGAGTATAACAAAACGTCCATGTTGACCACTTAAGTAACTGGACCGAAGTGGTCAACGTATGAAGATCCTGTACAAAAACTTGGCGCACCTTACTTTCCCGATGCCAGTAGTACGGTTTACATATTAATTTTACGTATACCCCGGTTCATATGTGTGATATGAGCGTTTACATAAGGTCGAACACGGTCAACACGTACGTTGTTATAATGTGTCAAAACAGTTAAATCTTTTTTAGAAAAAGTCAATCTTTGCTTCTTTCTCCTACCACAAACGTAAGTGAACAGTGTAACGGGGTTTAGGAAACCAGTCCAGTATGCTCGACCTTACCACCTAAGCGCAGGTTACCGGAGTCAGCGGATCAGTTCGATCGAGAGAACTCGTGAAACCACCGGGAGACACAGCGATGGCTGGATGGCGAATCACGAGTGACACACGTATCCAGAAACCGACAAACCGGATTGGACAATAGAACATAGAGGGCGCACTGGCAACTCGAGAATCGGTATTAACGGCAAGTTTCAGAGTGCAAAGCCAAATATGAGCGGTCCAAAGAAATACGGCCAATCAGATGCCAAGCACGAAAGACGTAATCATTGCGTGAGACAGGAAGACAGCGACCGAAGAGGAATAACATAACCCAATGAAATAAAAGGGGAACGCAACCAATGAGGTGAGCCGAAAAACAGGTGACCCACTGAGAAGGCTCGAAGATTAACAGTGTTTATTTCCTTTAAATAGGCTACACTATACTGAATAAACGCCTGTTTTCCGCCCGCCGCCATCGTGACTTTTTGATCTTGTCCGTGTCACTTAACAAACAGGTTAGCTTAAAGTTGGCTAATCAATGAATATTTGTTTTGGCGTAGGATTGTATGGCTCGAGAAATGAGCAGTACAGCAATTTGCCAAGGTGGGACGAATGTCCCGACATAATACTAAGCAAACGGCTCAATAAAAGCTCGGGGAACTAGATTAAAGACCGCACATCCAGAACGTGTCAGTGTTTGTGTTTTATTGATTGTGTTTGGTAGACTGCACCTCGTAGATAAACATCATGCACACATATGGTTCCACGGATGGTGGAAATTCAAGGTTGATAGTCCCAATAACAACAGATGTTTTTCTGACGCGGGATGGATATATCCTCTATTGGTTAAGATTAGCGGATAATGTGCAATAGAGGATATTACCGGGAGTGCAGTTTGTACGTAGTTGCTGGTGGCCGCTGCGTGAACACCGACACCTTATGTATCATGTTTGTTTTGGTAAGATTGGGTCATCCGGTGGACGTCACAGACAGCAATATCCATCTCATAGATAGTAGCGTCCCGGCAGATGAATAGATATGCCTTGATGTAAGCCGTTTGCATGGGGATGCGTGGTTCTTGAATGACTGTAGCTCTCCGACGGCGTTGAATCGTTGCAACTTGGTTGGCAATGTCATTGTGCCGTTTGCAGCGTGTATCGTGGGTTACGCTACAAGACTGGAGCACGTGAGAGGTCGATTCCTGTTGCCTACATGAACCGCGGCAATTGAGATCGGATGGGGAGCGCGTTGGTCCACCTCTGGCTCGTCTGATTTTTTGTAGCATGGACACATGCGCGTAATTGAGTTGCCCTGATAAATAGGCGCGGGAAGACACGTGCAGGTTGCCGGAGCCATCGATGAGCAATTGGATGCGTTAAAGCTTGAGATAGAGGGGATCCGTCAAGCGTAGTAAGTAACTGAGTCTTTCATGCCTCCTTTGCTGAGGCTTTATCCGTCACAGTTTGCCCACCTACTATGAATGACGAATTAGCTAGCCGATGTATCGCAGAGGCAGTGGGGCCATGAATAGCTCAGCTCAGGATGGCATTAGGGTTGGAAAGGTGTTGCTCCATTCTATCTTTCCAAAGTAATGGCAACGTGGTTAAGAGATTAGAAATGCCTAAGCCGTGGTCAATGATGGATGCATGGAAAAAGGCAACAGCTGTATCTCTGGGTAGTCTTAACCATTTGCGAATGTTAGTCTTGATTAGTTTGTCCTTCGTTTTGAGTGTGTATCGATGCCTTACTGCCAGATAGGGGCTGTGGATGTGTCGTGAAATGAGGAAGGTTCTGAGCATTTCAATCCGTTGGTGAGGTTTTAATGGTATTTGCGAACTTTCCTGAAGTTACTGACGCAGGTCATCGATAGAGTGAGACAGATACTTAAACTCCTCCTTGTGACCTGGGCACATTTGTCCCAAAAAGTAGGCCTGATGCTGACCTGTGTAGATAGACGGGTGAGGAAAAGGTACACACAAAAGCGGTCAAGATTAGTCTGTGGACGCGGTGCGTTGGAGACACATTGTACAAGATACACATCCGTGTGCAGAACAAAAGCACACAACGCATACACAGACAGGGAACATGCCGTATGTCAAATCAGATCAAGATTGCGTTTTTAAGCACCCGTGACAGCCTTGACATACATGCTATCAATATGACAAAGAAGCAATTGAAAGCGACAACACAACAGCAGAGAAAGAGTTCAGTGAAAACCTTACCTCACTGGCAGAATTTACCGGACAGTTATTGAATACTAGCGTTTTGGTCAAATAGAAATCTGGCTAAATGGAGAATGATCGACGGAGCATCAGTCTTCGTGCTGGCATATATTGCTCCATACTTTCGTTTGGTTGACAAGGTAGATAAGAAATTGGAAAGTGCAGTTTGAATAAGGTGGCTAATTTCAGTGATTATTATTGAAGCAAGTTGAGTCTATGAGTTAGTGTGTGTGGCTATCATTATTCTTCCCAAATTTGGCTTCGGAACACTACAGCAGTGGGACAAGTGTTTCAGTAACCTGTCAAACAGCTTGAAATGCTTACACAGTAGGGCATTAATTCCACTGCAGTAGATTACACACACTGTTGAACTTCAGTATGAAGTCGGATGGTCACAGGATGATCACAATCGAGCGACATAAAACATTAGTCGCCTTACTTTGGTGAATATCTGGTTCACGTGTACTGACCACGACAAATTGTCGCTTGGTGTAACTCCAAAATACTTCACTGAACTATAGAAGCTCAAACGGTCACCTTAAATCTGAAGCTTGGGACATTCTGTGACAAGTTCCTAATAACGAGCTGCTTTATGAAATGAAAAAGGAATGTTATTACACTTGGACGCGTTCAGCGTCAAGCAGCGTAAGTTTGCCCATTGCACTAATTTGTCTAAACAACCTTGCAGCTTGGCTGAGGAGGCCGATGTTTGCTGATTCACGCCGATGATAACGTCATCTGCATATTTTAACAGAATGGTTTCTTCTGAGACAGATATATAGCTAACATAAGTAGAGAACATGGATGTTGACCAAATTTGCTCCTTGAAGGACACCGGGTGTTGTGGTAACTGGTGAGGAGCTTTTGCCGCCAAACCTGGTGACCTGAGTACGTTTGGCTAATTAATCCGTTAGCAAGAATATTGGGAAAAGTTGTATACCGGGCGTCCGTAGATTTTGCAACAGCGATTTACGGTTAATACAGTCGAAAGCGTTGCTGTAG